GTGGCAAACGAATAATAAATTGTTTTCTTTGCTCGGAATATAATCAGCGGAGTGATGAGTGGAGCACGTGCGTGAGTTCGCATGGCGCGCCTGCGAAAAAGACGCAGCGTCGGTGGTCGCAGTCGCGCCAGCCGGCATTGCGGTCACGCCATTCACTCACGGGGGTGCGCACACAGGGTGGAGGGCGCGTAGCACACGCGCCAGACATGACGAGACGCATCGATCGTCTCTGCTCGCAATAAACTCTCTTGCGAAAGATCAGAATGGCAAGGATTTCACCAAGCCGAGACGACCGAGCGCCCGACCTACCCAAATACAAAACGGCGCCTACTCAGTTTTCTTACGAATTGAAATACAGGCTTTAAAATTTTTTAATATTGTGGAATAAATTAAAAATCTGAGAAATTTTGTGACACTCCAACAAGAGTAAAATATAGAAATTAAGGATTATTTACAGTAAAGAATCTGTTTTGTGTAACAAAACATTGAAGTAAATCCAAACGAGATCAAGTTATTTAGTTACAAATCATGTAATTTATAGCAAAAAGAAGAAAAATTTATATTTGAGTGTAAATTGTGCAAATAACTAAAAAAGTTTTCTACGGCATGAAGAGTAACAATAATAATAATGATGCTTTTTTAATGCTCTCATAATTACTATTAATTATTTCCCAGATTGTTTAAATGATATGAAATATTGAGATAAATAAATTGCGCAGCATTTACAAAAAGGGGTAAATTTGCATTCTTCCAGAAATTTATATTTTTATCTCAGAATTTCATAACTATCTTTTCTTGCGGTGGTACATTTTTGTCCAGATTTTATTTTCTTTCTTTCAATGTGAGTAAAGTTTTGAAAAGTTTACAAATAATTTATCTCGTTTTTACAATATATCGAATCATAATGGAAGTAGAAATACTTTTTAAAAGTAAACTTTGGGTTGATCGTGTTGTTTTCTTTCTTATTTGATTTGCATTAAATTCAATATATATTTACAACTTAATATGGTAGATAATTCAAATTTTGCATAAAAATTGGAATCCCAAAGATTTGAATCGTAACTTTAAATTTTATAATACATTTTTACAATTTTTCCTTTTATATGAAGAAAGTTCAATTCCGCGGCTCAGTCATGGCCTTATCGATCGATCTATGTTAGCAAAGGGTCCGAGAGGTGGCTAACAGCTTTGCTATTAGGGTAGGGCCTGCTGCAAGCCAGCTACTTTTCGTACAACAGCTTATCAATCGGCCGATTAGCACACAAACGAAACTGAATTATTTACAAAAGATAAAAATTATGTAATAATTTCTTCTACTTCCTTTCTTCACTTTAAACTAATGAAGCGAAGATTATAAATACTAGTGCATTAAAGAAAGTTTGAAAAATTCCAAGATTTTTTTTACTATTATTTAGTTCAATTTAATGGAAGGGGGCTTTTTGGAAGTTATATCAAAATTTGGTCTTTCAAATCAGTTTTTCAATCCCAAAAATTCCAAAAAATTTCCAATTTTTTCAGTAAAAAATTTGGAAAAGCAAATAAAGATTTGATAATTAAATTAAATAAACACAAAAAATCATTTGAAGAAATATCTTGCTTAAGCTTTAATTTGCAATTTAATTGAAGGTTTTTATTTTTGGACTTTTTATGAATGATTTTTTTGTAAATATCTGAAATTAAATTGAAGAACAAAAATCCGAAAAAACTTCCTTTGCATACAAAATGTGAAAAAGAACACACACATTTCATATTTTCTGATCCGATTGATTAATTAGTTGTTTTTCAATACTTTTCGTTCTCTCTCAAACTACCGATTTAAGCGAAACTTCTCATGACAAATTTTGGCAGCGAAATAATATTTTACAAACGTATCAATATCTTGTTTTTCTCAAACGTCGTATTTTTTTCTGTGTTGAAAAATAACCATGTTTGCTTTACTTCTTGTTGAAAATGTTATGGTAAACACCCGTCTGTGTATCGACACTAACAAGCTGCTTGTTTCTTTGCTCTGAGGTGGTTTTTGTGTGGATTTTTTACGCACACCCCTCGCTTGAATAGGCGCAATAAGTGAGGACAAAAAGCGACTGTGCTGCAAAAGGCTTCTTGCGTCGAAAATAAACCTGCTTTTCCGCGGAATTGCGCGCGGCGCGGAGACGTTTCTGTTGCGAAATACGTCCGAGCTAATAGACGGCGGCCAATCGGCGGGACAAGTAGCTGCAGCCAATCGATGACCCACTTCGTCGCAGCTTTACGCAAATTGCAAAGTGCACTAGAGGCACGTGGTGCATTTCTGCTCGAAAATTCCATATCTCACCATTTGATCCAGAGGAAAGTGAAAAAAAAAAATACTACATTTTATAGAAAAGAATTTTAAGTGAATTTCAGCACATCAGTCAAGTTATTGTTGAACAAGTTGCAAAAAAATGCTTTCAAAATAATTTTATGCATGGAAAATTGCACAAAATTAAATCATAAAAGAAAAGATATTCCATAAGTCCACTTATCTATTGAGTTTACAACAGTTTGGCTGGACTTATAAAAATTGAAGAAAAAATTATCTCTATTTGCTAAAAAAATTTGAAATGTTAATTCATTTTAAGGAAAAACCCGACAGTTTTTTAGACCCATTTAAAAAATTCGGTCACATCAGATCTCGCTCATCCTGTTACTTCTATTATATTATATTGAAGATCAAGTTGTCAAGTTACTATAATATTTAAAGTTAATTAGGTTATATTTAACAATTTTTTAGTAGTATTTTCAAAATAAAATCAAGTAAAAATTAGAAAACTTGGTGACCACGTTTTATTAAATTAAAATCTGGAATGTTGAAAGAGATACTGGAAAAAATAAATAATATGGGCTCACTCTGACCGTGATCAAAAATACGTTTGGTGTAACGAAGGAAAAATACAGTTTTTTAACATCATAAATTTCTCCTCAATTGGATCAGCCGCTTAGAAAGTGTTAGAAAGACATAAAAATAGTTAGAAAAATTCGCATTGAAAATGCACAAGATTTAAATTTGTTGATACAAAAATAACTAACATTTTCATTTACTGGGAAATTCAATTCAAGTTGATCAAAACTAAATAAATTAAAAAAATCAATGCTGGACGATTTCTGATATAATTTTTGTTTGTAATCCACGTGAATCATCCAGCATAAAAAAAAATGAAAATTGATAAGGTCTTACTGATCTCGGAATTTTTAGCAAAATTTTTGCTAGTGGTGATGCCGTTTCCTAACAATCCTTTTATTTATAATAGTTTTCAAAAATTGAATGTAAACAATGTGTAAAAAATGTGTAAAAAATGTGGACAAATAAATTTTGTTGAATAATAAAATAATTTGTAAATATGACGAAAATAGCAAATTTTCAATTTCAACTCAACAAAAAAAATTATGCTTGATTTGAATTTCTTCAATGATTTCAAAAGGTAATATGGCCTAGTATCAGTTGCAACAAGTGACTGCCCAATTTACTCGAACATAGAAAATCTAAGAAATAGTAGTTTTTTTCTGAATAAATCGTTGATTATCTCTCCTTTTTACATAAATTCTCACCACAATAACAATTTTTGGAAGGGAGAAACATCGAATTTTCTAATGAGAATGTCAAATTAATCTTTAGATTTAATATTTATTTTACCAACCATTGGCCGAATACGAAATGTAGTTGATTGAATATTGTCTCTAATTTGTGCTGAAATCGTCAGGGGTGTTTTTATTATTGGCGGCTCGTAGGCGTTTGATTTTCTCACGGGGATGACATGACCCAGTTCGCGGACGGCTTGCTCGTCGGCTGCTGAGCTGTTCTTTTTTCTGCACGTATATCCGACGTAGAGCGAATTTCTGCACATGCCCCACTTTCGCGGAACGCAATCAACGAGTGCATATAGGAGGGGCTCTTGCACGCGAATGCACCACTATTATGCTGCACGTGCTGACCTCTCTCTAGCTGCATCCCTCCCCGCGGTTACGCAATAAGCCGGCGAAGCCATAAAATATAGAACGAGCTCAATACGATCTATAAACTTCCAATATTTTAAAGTGCGGAGTTCCTGAAACTACTGTATTAAGCCTAAATTTGGATTTTCCAACAAAAAATAAAATAAAAAATCCCCAGAAAATAAAATATATTAAAATTAATTAAAAATATATTTTCCTTGCAGTATTGGAGATCTTTAGGTTGAAATTTTTTGAATGATTCGTGGAGGAATTTTATAGTAAAAAAAGAAACTGCTGAAATCGTCTCCAAAATTAGTTGGAAATTGGACTTTTTCAAAAATAAAGTTAATTTTAGGTGAAATGAGAGAAGATTAAATGGGATTATTTGAAGATAAATTGGTGCTAATTAGATTCTTTTGAGAGCTTAAAGCTATTAAATTTATCTTAAAACTTGTATATATATTGCAAATTTTGCTGTTTCAATGGAACGTGTTTAAATAATTTTAAATGTAATAAATTTTAATAATTTTATAAAGAAGATCCCACGATTTTTGTACTTTTAATTTCAAGATGGAACAATTAATTATTAATAATTTTTCTATTTGAATATCAATGAGCATTAATTGTAAAAATGGGGTTGAAAATCCCAATAGTGTTCCTCAACAAGCTAATTAGTTTCTAACTAAAATTTTCCAAAATTTCCGGGACTAAAAATTAAGATTTTTAAATAATATTTGTGGCTGGAAAGAAATGGACAGACAAAATTTATCAACATAAAATAATACAGAAAAGGTTTCAGCGACAAAATGTATAAATATTTGTGTTTTTCAGAGTGACACTCGATCCTCTTTGTAGATAGAAATCTGTTTGACGCGTTTCTCTTTCAGTGCAGCGCCTCTGCCAAAACATAATAGCTCGCCCATGTGATTTTCGCCCCGATGAAGAAGTAAAAAGAGCCCCACGTGCGGTATGTGCGCAGTGGCGTGGCACTTGGCTCGCAGGTCCAGCCCGCCCTCTCGCAGCGGGGGCATTTTATTTGAGGGCTGCTATCGTGCGAGAGTCGACCGGAGCCGCTCCCCATGTGGAGAGCAGGCAATTCCCAAACACACCACCTACGCTTCTTCAAAAGGTAAGTCCGATAATTAGCCCTGCTGGCAGTTCTTGGTTCGAACCTTATTTGGCTTAAAGGAGAAATTTTTGTTACCAAAATCAATCGTTGACAATCGGGAATTTTTACTTAAATATCAGTAATTAAATTAAATAGGATTTTTTTGTGATTTAAATTCAATTTTTATAGAAACATCGTGTGCAGTTAAGTAGGTTAAGACTTTTTGTTTTGCTCGAAATCTTACAGACAAATTTAATAGATTTTCTTTCATTTAGTGGTACAAGAATGGAGTAATTTTAATCACATAAAAATTGTTTATTTTAGGTACCAAGAATAAATCCAATCATTGAAATCAAATTTATTTACTTTGCAATAATAATTTCTATTCAGTTCAATGTTCGATTTAGCTTTTTATGAGAGATTTTTTTTAATTTCAATTCAATTTCTGTGCATTTTTTTTAAGAAAAAATATAGTTGCATTTGTTTTTGTTAAATAAGTTCCACTACTTGGAATATTTCAATTATTGCCATTATTTTCTTTCCAAAGAGGCCAACTTTTTCTGCTAATTATTTTTTTGCACAATGAAAAATCAATAAGGGTGTGCACACGCCCTTGCAGTGCACTCTCTATGTGTGTGTGTGTGCAATTCAACGCTTTATGTAGTGTGTATAGAAAGTGCATTCACGGTGGTTGGGAGCGGCACCGCTCGCAGTGTTGGCGGCGCAAGCGAACACCGCCAACTCACCCTTTCGGATTGCTTTTGTCCTATTCATACTTCAATCTCACTGCGAAAACGATGTTTTTAATTAGAATGAAAAAGCATGGAATTTTTATCGAGGAGCCGAAAGTGATGCAAATAAATTGATGAAATAATTTATATGTTTCCTGGAATATTATACATTTTTGGGAATGATATAATAATAATTTATTTTCTATACAACGTGATATTGCAAATAATTTGTTGAATCGGATCAAAGTTTAGAAATTTTAAAAATGACGATTTTCAAAGTTCATACTAAACTTTCCACAGCCCGGTGTGACGTTGCAAATAAATATACTTCACATATCCTCCAATCTTCTATTTTTATCAGTTTTACAGATGAAATCTGTGACTGAAATAATTTCTTCCGCAAATTTCCTGAAACCGGTTTCTTTGAAGATCCAAATCGTAAAAAATCATTAAACTACTACTTTCCGGGAAAAAACCGCTGTATTATTATTATTAAAACTAATTATGCAATTTGCTCCCTTTTCCGATCGCGCGATCATCTAAAAAAACCGAAGTTAGCAATCCTCTCTCATATCTCAAAAGGTTGGTTCTTTAAAAATCAGATAGTAAAAACAATGACTGATTGCCATCAGCAATTGAATGATGAGATATTTAAATTTCACATTTTTGTATACAAACACTTTTATGGGCTGGTTTTTTTTTATCAATGTGGGTTGCGGATTTTAGAGCCTAGGAGACTTTTCTGCAATAAAAGGTCAGCGTTTGATCTATTCTATTCTCCATAAAATTGAAAATTAATTTAGCAATTAATGAAATATCACAAATAATCGCGATTCTTCTTAAAAAAAGATGCGACTTTTCATAACATCTTTGATATAGATATATTTAAAAAATGAGTCACTTCCAACAATGTTTTTGTTGTGTGTCAAAAGGTCGTTGCAGAAAAGCAGTTGGCGATGAACGCGGTCGGTGGCGAGCACTTCTGTCTGCGATGGAACAACTACGAGAGCAACTTGCTGAGCGTGTTCAACCAGTTGCTGGAAGACGAGCAGCTGGTGGACGTGACCCTGGCGTGCGAGGGCCGCTCGCTCGAGGCGCACAAGGTGGTCCTGTCCGCGTGCTCGCCCTTTTTCCAGCAGCTGCTGGTGGCCTCCCCCGACCGCCACCCCATCATCATCCTCAAAGGGGTCAACTTTGCCGAGCTGCGCATCCTTTTGGACTTCATGTACAAAGGCGAGGTCAACGTTGAGCAGGGCCAGCTCAAAGACCTCCTGCAAACGGCCGAGGCCCTCAAGGTCAAAGGACTGTTCGGCTCAACCAACACCAGCACCATCCAACAAGTGGCGACCCCTGCCAGAAGAAAGAGACCCTCGGACGTATCGCGGCCCTCCAGTCCGAAGTTCGCCACGACTTTGTCCCAAAACACAAAGGACTCGTCGCCAAGTACTGATAGTGAGATAGAAGATAATTACGTAAATGTATATCTAATAACGATTCTGTACTTTGTCTCGATTATTATTTTTTGGGGCTTATTCACAATAGGAATCTTTGCCATCTTCAAAACTTTTAAACTGTTTAAATCGTAGAGTGCTGATAAAACATATAGTCGGAAGACATTGACCTTCCCTCGATTTAGTCTGATGACCTTTTAACACATTAATCGATGAGAGTGTCTTCACAAGTTTTTGTAGATTTAAAGTGAATAAATATATAAAATTGTAATTGAAAATTTTAACAACTGCTCCTAGCTTTTTCCCAAAAATCTTCATAAAAGTTATATATTATATATTGTGAAAATGCCCTTGTGTGTTTACCAGGGCGGAAATTAAACCGCCATATCCATATGAGTTGTTGGTTTGATTTTCACTTTGCCTTTTCGTATAATATGTTTTTATTTGGGTAGTCCGCAAAGTTCAACTAGAACAAATTTAAATTTAAATTCCTGTAACCAGTGCACTCTGCTTTTAATTTTTCTGTGACTGAACCGCTAATAAAATTAATTGACCGTTCAGTTGTTATTAAAATAATATTTTCAGTTGAAAAAATACGTGCACGTCTTTTAAAAAATTTAATTTTCAATGTGTATTTTTGAGAATATAACTGTTTTCAATGTAAATTAATGGAAATATTAATACGCGATGTTTTGCAGAAAGACTTAGTTTTTTGCACGTCGCCCCTTGCGCAGCAGGAAAGGCTCAGCGCACCACCACAACCTGATCCCTCACCAGGCCCTTCTGGATATTTGCCAGTGCCCGTGCAAGAAGTTCCTATGGTAAAAATGAATGAATTTCAATAACAGCCTTTTCCTAGTCTTCGACCTAACTTGAATCTTCATTTATTTATTGTCTTCTGTTAATTTTTTACAGTCCCTGAAAAAGGAGCCACCTGATCCAGAAGAAAAATACTCAGATGACGAAGTCGGTCAGGAGGATGAGCAGACTGGCTTTCTGCAGTCTGCGTTAAATTTGCGATTAAATGTAAGAATGACAATTTTTTTTCTAATATTCTTCAGGCAACCAAAAGCGTACGACTGATACCCCCCTCCCCCCAAGCCTGAGTGTAAAAATTGAAATTTTCCAAAGTCGCATCTTCTCCCATCTTCCCTTTTCCGTCCTCAAGTCGAATTACCATTTTCAAAATGAACAAAATATTATTTAGCACTAGAGTATTGAATTAAAAAAATTAAAATTTATTAGAAAATTAAAATTAATTTTTACAATGAGACCTTTTATGGTATTTTATGCAGCAATGCGTCGAGAAGGGTGTGCTAGGCTACCCCCGGGATATTGGACGTGCCCTCCACGAGAGCAGGCGACGCGGCTGGGTGTCCCACAGGCCAGGGTTTGCCGTCCTTCCAACACTCCCTGGGCGCAGTGCTACGTTTCTGCCGGCGAAGCCCGTGATAGACCAGGCAGTGGACAATAATGGTGGTGAGGCCAGAGTGAACTGTAAGTTTTGCGACAAGCCGTTCATGGACCAGAACGCGCTAGTGGCGCACGTAGCGGTGCACAGCGGCGACCGACCTTTCAAGTGCAGATATTGCCATAAGGGGTTTAAGTTGCGGCATCACCAAAGAGACCACGAAAGGGTGCACACAGGCGAGAAACCCTTCAAATGCAGCATTTGCACCAAAACGTTTTCGCGCTCCACCATTGTCAAAGCCCACGAGAAGACTCACATCCCAAAGTTCTTCCGCAACAAAAACCAAATAACCCTCCCATCGCAAATCGAATGAATCTTTCACTTCAGTTTCAGCTTCGCCTTCAGATTTCCAAGATTTATTTCAACGCAAGGACGAAGTTGTTTCAAATCATTCAAAATATCTATTAGAACTTAGATCTGAGCAGGGGATGTCGGATCCGATTTTCGGTCATGTATGGAAACAAAGGGCACCAGCCAGTAGAGAAAGAGAGGAAAGGTGGGGAAGTTCACCATGACTGCTGGTGCATTGTGCATACCATCTTCCCTCTTTTTCTTTGCGCTCACTGCTCGCCAAGGTCAAATAAGCAGCCAATAGAAATTTGGTGCTATTTGAGGCATTGCTGATGCGCCGTATGGCTAAAAACGATATGCGGATCTGACATCCCCTGGATCCGAGATTGTAATGTGCTTCACAGATTCTAGACAAATGAAATTGGGTGTAGCAACGTCACTTTGAAATAGTTAATATCTTCCTTCAAGATAAAAAAAATTAAATTTTCAAGTTAATGTTGGCAAAAGGATATGGAAATCCTTGATTTTCTTCATTCTTTAATTTACATTTTGAAAGAGTGATCATTTAATAAGCAGAAAGTCTATGTTTCGCATTTTATTTCTATTCAAATATGAATAAGCATGAATAAGTAACCACTTTTTATAGAGTATTCCATCTACATAAAATATTTATTTTCAATTTTTGCAAAATTTCCTGCAATTTTAAGTAAAGTTGATCTCTTTATGACTGATTACTTAAAAATAATAATAATTGACCATAGTGGAGCTTACTAAAAATGAGATTTCTGAGCAATGTGCCAGCTTTTTCCATTTTATAAAAAAATATGAGCTGAAAATCTCTGATTAAATTAAAATAGACCAATGAGTAGTTTAAAATTGAAACAATTCCGAATTTTAGGGGTAAACGTTGTGCCCAAATAGACATTATTAATTATATAAAGCACAGAAACTCTAGCTCTTAGCTTTTTGCGCTCTGAAGCTAGTTAGCTGTTCAAGCAAATCATGGACGTTTCTGAATACAGGTATGGAAAAACCATGCATTTTTAAGAAATAAAGACTTTATTTGGCGAATTTAAATGAGGACACGGACAAAAGACTTGAAATGACATCCAATACTATGCCGTGATAAGAAAAAAGGAAGACATAATGCGATATAAAACGAATTTCTCACAACATAAGAATTTATAGAAACCTTGCCATTCTGTAGCTGGTCACATTATTAATTATTATACATAACCCTAAATGTCAGGGATTTTCAGCCCTCTGGCATATTTTTTAGAATTATAGTTGACGCCTAAACTGGGGTGTTGCTTTATTAAAAGTCAATTTTCATCGTCGATATAATAGAATTTTCCATGTGTGGAAAACATTTCTTACAAAATATGTGTACGCAGTCTTTCTGTGATGAGGCAATCAACACGAGACATGCACAGATAGAAAAAGGCAGCAGAGAGACTCGCAAATCCAGCCACGTTCTACACTGTGATCCATATAAAGGTTATAAGTGCGTTGATTTCGAAAACCACTCCAAGTAATTGTTCAAAGAAATAATCAAGAGAGAAAGAGTGAGAGAGACACGCAGATAAAAAAACGCACAAATTTGTTTGTACTCGCGTTCTGAAATTTGTTACAGAGTGTTGGGAAAGATGTAATGAGATAAAAGAAGTGTAAATCGATTCTGACCATTCAGAAAGACAAAAACAGCTTTCATTTGGAAGCGCAATATAATTTCGGAATTTGTCATTTGTGCACAAAAAATGCCCAAGATAAGAAATTTATTCTGGATACTAGCAGACAAATTACTTAAATAATTACTGACGTTGAAATTGAGATCAAAATATTCGCGCTTTCATTCTAATAATTGATGGAAACGGGAACTATTCCTACTTTGAATTTGAATCTTGAAAGATGATTCAGTGTATTGGCTTTTAATAGTGTTTCTTTCGCTGGGAAAGTTGAACCATTTTAATGAACTCTCTAATTTTAACTCTTGTAACTTTTAATTTTGCGAACTTTTTGATCCAGACCTCAGTTTCAGTGATCGAAATTTTGTGCTCATCTCAATTCGAAATATTTGCTTTTAATGGGAAATTATATGAGTGTGTGTCAAAGCCAAAATATATAAATATGAAGAAAACGTTTTGTATGCGCATGAGTGTTTTGCCCATACATGTTAATTGTCATTATGATTATAAGCGTTTCCATTTCTTGCGTTGTACTGTCAAAATTATTCCTACCAAGAGTTTATTATTAAAACTGTAATTTCGGCTATAGCTGTCCTGCATTGTGTGTATCGTCACGCTCAATATCTTAAAATGTTAAGAGGTGATTTGTTTAATTGTGAGAAAAAATAAGCAATTTCATCTTAACCATTTAATTTAAATCGCCTCGTGAGATAATATGTATGTGAACTTGAGCTGAAGAGTCATTTGAGAGAAAGAGAAAAATGTTTTTCAACACAATCTGTACTGAAAACACGAGAAAAAAAAACAAAACATAGTTTCTGATGGAGTTTTGACTAAAAATGAGAAGAAGACACTCATAATAATTACACGTGAATACGCGCATTGTTTAGAAGAAGAAAAGACGTTGAAAATATAAATAAAAATAGATCCAATCTGCTTTATACAAGAGATGGAGCTTTCATTAAAATGATGCAGAATTATTTAATTTCCCTCTCCCAATTAGAAATAATTTAAAAAAGAGCATTCATAGTTTTTGCACTTCGGGTGAAAATTTTATTTTTTGTTTTCATGCATATAATCTAAAAATTAATTTTTTTTATATAGAATATAGTGTATATGTTTTTATGGATCAAAATAAGGGAAATAAGCGAAGCAATCACTATAGTTCAACAAAAATATTTTGGGTTACATAAAAAGTTTTTATTTGAGCAAAATATAATTTACCCATTTCTTCCCATTTATTTTTATGTATATAACAATCAGAAATTAGTTTTAAAACAGTTTCAAACAAATTAAAGGTATCAAAAGAATCAGTTTTCAAAACAGCATCAATTAAACACTAGCTGGAAGTGCAAGAAAAACTTCACGTCAGCGTCTCATAAATTAAAAGATTTTCGCCAAAATTCATTCAAAATTTAATGTATAATTAATTACCTAATGATGAAAATTTTCACACAGATCACTTAATTTTGTATTTGACTGTTTATATGTAAGGTAATCTTTGTGATCAATTTTCACTTGTGTATGATATTGCCGCGATTTGGTGCGTAAAAAGTTCAATGTTATTGAATTTTATGAATATTTTCAATATTCAACATTTTCGGTATACTTAATATTTGAGAACATAATGGTTTTTTTATAAAATATAACTCATATAAATTTTGCACCCGGTTTCTGATTTGAAATCCTCAATTAATTTCAAACGGCCGAAGATAGTTCCATCCAAACAGATGGAGAGGAATTTATGAAATTTATGTGTCCGATAATATTTTTTTTTTTGCATTCACTTAAATCGCAAGATTTTTTTTAAACATTAGAGTCTTGAGCTTATGGAGTGTCACCGCGAATCGCGAGTTGCCCCCCGATCGAGATGCACCCATTTGCAAGACAGTCGGAGTGTGTTTGCCTCGCCACCGAGGACTCGCAATTGAAACGCTGTGCATTCGCCACATACCAATATGCCCGGCTGGAAAGGTGGAAATCAGCCGGCAGCGAGTCGATGCAGATTGCTCTGCATCTCCCGAATTCCACTGGATTTCGACTGGCGAGTGTCCGGCTCACACACAAATTTTTGCTATCAATGCAAACAAATTGCAAGGCTCGAACACACGCCAGCCGAGCTCAGAGTGACATGATCAGAATGCAAGCACGCTAACCACTCTACCACTGGCAAAACTATGACATTATCTGATTTCCAGATCATGAATTTAAGAAAATAGGAAAAAAACTCACAATGGAAGCAGCTGCATGCAGGAAGCAGGTTTCCAGAAATTTTCGCGGCCAAAATTCCTCGGCAGCCTCCGAGTCCAAGATTCTGCAGCGAATTTTACGGAATGAAGGCGATCTTGAAGACACTTGGAGACAAAAACTGGGCGAAAAGTTGAAGATGTTTGATAGGATTTTGATTTTAGACCGCAAACAAAATTGCATTCTTCTCCAATTGTCCAATATAAACAAACAACGAGCGAGCAATTTGGTTGGCATAGCAACAGCCAACAAGCAACAAGTGGCGCCACGAAGCTCAACGATTATTTTCCAATTTATTGCCAAAAATACCGGTGGTTTTCATTGATTTCCCTCAATAACTCCTTATAGACATAGTCAAATCAAGTCTGTGCAACAATCGTGATTAAAATATCCAATTTTCTTTCAACAATCGCAAAAATCTGTTTATATTGTTATAAGGATTTGATTTGACTATTTCAATAAGAAGTCCTTGAACACCGGTTTAATTTAAGAAAATAACCGACAACACGTCTCGGTGATGAAGTTAGGCGAGATAAAAGATACGCATAATTGGTTGCCATGATAGTTTTTAACCCAATCAGAGGAGGAATTGTATCTGTCATGGCTGCCAACTAGCATAAAATTGCAAATCCTCTCTTTTATAACAACCGATTTGTCCGATTTGGCCCCTTGATTTGGCCAACGGCGAAGGTCAACGGGCGAACCAAGAATTTCAGGTGCCACCGAATTTCACTTCTTCTTCCTCTTTGGAAGTCTTTTACTCTTTGGCCATTTTATAATTCTAGATTTGTCGTGAAACGAGAAAGTTCGTTTGCAAACGAGACAAGGAAAAGTCAAATATATTCGCGAATTCGCAGTTTTCCAACCGTTCGCAACGCCGGATGCCGGATCGTCAATATTTTGCACTCTCCTGTAGCACTTTCATCTTTCCAGCGCATCTCGTTATACAGATAATTTCTTAGGGCAAACACATAATGTACGCCAGGGTGAAAGCGGACAAGCGGATGTTTGATTTGGAACCGGCACGTCCTCGTCGTCCACCAATTTATGTACACACTTACATACGAGGTGCACTTGAAGAAGAACGTGAGTTAATTCTAATTCCAACTGAAAAATGCGTTCATAGTGGGTGAATTTGCAGATGCTGCGCGGCGCTTCCAGCTAGCGGGACAGGTATATGGACAAATTCTTCGTGGTGATCCCGAGAAAAGTGCAGGTCATGGCCACGTTGTGCTGTGACAACTGCCGAGCGTGAATTTACAGCCAGGACAAGACTGGAATCCGGCTGACCGCGCTAGAGGAGTTCTCGTCCAATATATTTGCAGGCCCTGCACGAGGAAAACTTGGCCGTTTGTCAAAACGCCAACGTGCAGGTCGTCTCAAAGATTGCTTTGACGATGATGACGAGGACAATGTCTGCATTAAAGCGCATTGTCCTCAATGCCAACGAGGAGGCTCCTTTGAATTTGAGGCGATCAAAGACCCGAGGCTGCTGGGAGGATGACGACTTCATCGAGTTACGCAGCAGCAGCTTCCAGCTCAGGTCTCATAGTTTATTGCGAACAGAAAAAAAGTTATCTATCGTCAAGGTGCAGAGAAGTTTAAGATTAATTAATTTTTTCACTTCATAATTTATTAGATTTCTTTTGCAGCCATCATTCTACAGTCAAACGCAAGAACTGCTACTAAAGATGAGAAGTGAAGTTTTTTTAAGGGTAAGAAAAACTGGATCACCGGCTGTTGACCATGGCATTTTCAATTTATACAAAATACAGTCATTTCAAGGAAAGAGAAAACTGCTTCAAAGTCACATCAAGAATTTAGTTTAAAAATTAAGATACAAATCGTGCAAATAAGATTTAAAAATTTATCTAGAAGAAGCTCAATTTCTATTATAAGTCAGATTGAATTGTGAAGGCACCACCTAACGAAGGATATTAATTTTTTCTACAATACGAAAGTGTGACTGTCGGTTTTGAATCTATAGCTCACTAAACGAATAACCCAGTGTGAGCTACTACTGATTTAAGCACCAAATGAATGCGCATGTATTTGTGTTCTTGCAATGAAAGTGAATACTGATATTAATCTGCAGTTTAACGTTTGTTTACCGTATATAATAACGAACTTAGCATAAATCAAATACCTAAGCTTTCAAATTTGGAAGTTGCGTCGGCACTTCCTCATTAGAATTCAAGAACGCATATATTATTGTCACCTCTAAAGTAAAAAAGAGCAGAGATTTTGATTCCAACCGTTGGCAACGCCAGATCGTCAATATTTTGCACTCCTGTAGCACTTTCGTCTTTCCAGCGCATCTCGTTATAGATAATTTCTTAGGACAAACACATAATAATGTACGCCATCAGGATGAAAGCGGATGTTTGATTTGACCGTCCTCGTCGTCCACCATATTAAGTACACGTGTACGAGGTGCACTTGACGAAGAACGTGAGTTTTCTAATTCCGGCTGAAAAATGCGTTCATAGCGGGTGAATTTGCAGATGCTGCGCGGCGCTGTCAGCTAGCGGGACAGATATGTGGACAAATTCTTCGTGGTGATCCTGAGCAAAGTGCAGGCCATGGCCACATTGTGCTGTGACAACTGCTGAGCGCGAATTTACAGCCAGGCAAGACTGGAATCCGGTTGACCGCACTAGAGGAGTTCTTGTCCAATAGTTGCAGGCCCTCCTGTACGAGGCCGTTTGTGAAAACACCAATGTGGTTGTCTCCAAGATTGCTTTATGGTGATGATGACGAGGACAATGTCTGCATTGAAGCGCATTGTCCTCAATGCCAACGAGGAGGCTCCTTCGAGTTTGAGGCGATCAAAGACCCGAGGCTGCTGGGAGGATGACGACTTCATCGAGTTACGCAGCAGCAGCTTCCAGCTCAGGTCTCAAAGTTTATTGCGAACAGAAAAAAAATTATCAGAGTGCAGAGAAGTTTAAGATTAATTAATTTTTTCAGTTCATATAATTACTTTATTTTTGTTGCAGCCATAATTATATCAATTCTACAGGCAAACGCAAGAACTCATGCTACTGAAGATGAGAAGTAAAGTTTTTTGAAGGGGTAAGAAAAACTGGATCAACGACTGTTGACCATGGAGTTTTCAATTTATAGAAAATACAGTCATTTCTCAAGGAAAAGAGAAAACTCTGCTTAAAGTTATGTCAAGAATTTAGTTTAAAAGTTAAGATACCATCGCACAAATCGAGCAAATAAGATTTTAAAATTTATCTAGAGGTTAAGTTCAATTCTATTATAAGTCAGATTGAATGTGTAAAGGCACCACCTAACGTAGAATATTAATTTTGTTTCTACAATATATTGTAGAAACAGGTTCACTTATATATATATATAAGTGAACCTGTCTGTTTTGAATCTATAGCTCGATCACCAAACGAATAACCTAGTGTGAGCTGTGAGCTACTCTGATTTAGGCACCAATTAAATGAGTGCGCGTGTCTTGTGTTCCTGCAATGAAAGTGAATACTGACATTAATCTGCAGTTTAACGTTTATTTGCCGTATTATAACGAACTTTGCATAAATCAAATAGGCTTTCAATATGGAAGTTGCGTCGCTACTTCCTCATTTGAATTATTGTCAACTATATAGTAAAATTAAAGAGCAGATCGAGATTTCGATTCCACACCTGCTGCGCGCTGAAACCTCGTTTTAAGAGTGAGAGTATGTTTGGGATTTTTATTCCCACATCCTCGGAACAATACTCTGTAAGGCATAAGGAAAACTACAGGACTTATTGTTTGCTGCACATACGGCGTTAATGCAGATGAGATGCATTAAAGCACACGATTGTGTTGCCTTTTACCGCGTGTGCCGATTGACGCCGCTGCTGAGAAACAATTTCTATTTTTTTCGTCATTTAAGATGCTTTTTGCTGTAGCTTGCATGAATTAAATTATTTCTGCCAGTTTCGTTGAGTGCGAGAAAGATAAACGCTAAAGGTCCAGTTACAATATTTATATGCTAATCGCCTTACCACTTTTGGATGTGATTTTTTTTTTAACTAATAACTGCTCGCAGAGAGGATTATCCTATTTACTAATGAGTATTTTATAACTATATTAAACAGCTTTTGAATGTTAATGGTTTTTTAAGTTGCATTCATTTATGGCAAAAGGTGCAAAACTAAATAATATATATTAGATGTTGATTATATATTAATTTAAAAATATAATTTATCGTAATTTATATTGTTGGTATTTATTGTCTCATGAGGCAGCCCAACACACAAAACATTACAAACAATATTCTGAAATGTAAAACGCATGTTTTAAAATTTTGCATATAGTGCCTATAATTTCTTTTGATGGAATTTTTATATAACTCTTGTTAAAATTCTAAATGGTTTTGATTTGTTTAATTAATAAATTTAAATGTGCTGGATTTATAAGGGAAAAAATTCCTGAAGCTTTAATTCAAAAATTAATTTAATAGTTCAAAACGGAGCAGTGATTGATATGTAAATTTTATAAATTACTATTCTTCTTGACTGAATCACTATGAAGTTGACTATGAAATCCGACAAAACTGACTCGAGCACCACCTGGTGCCAAAATGTATATTTTGGTGCTCCTCACGGAGGTGCTGCTGCCACAGTAGTGTTAAAATAAAGGACTAATGACTTATTAAGATCAATGGCCGTCCGAAGTGAATATAAATAAATACATAGTCTGGCTGAGCGTGCGAAATTGGTGAGGTTGCAGCCGACCGGGACGTCCGATGTGAACGGCCAGGTCACGTGCCGTCGACGGACGCGTCCTTAGAGTATTCAGGCGCAGTTTGCGTCTCGGCAGAGTCGATTTTAGTCTGTAGAAAAAGAGCGAGAGATGCCTGGCAAGGTGAAGGTGAAGATCATCGCCGGGCGAAACCTGCCCGTGATGGACAGGTCGGCGGACACGACGGACGCCTACGTCGAGATCAAGATGAGCAACATCACGCACAAGACAGACGTGTGCAGAAAGTCGCTCAACCCGCAGTGGACCGAGGAGTGGCACCGATTCGAGGTTTGACCCTGCCCATAAATTTTTGTCACCGATTTTAATGGAATTTTTTCTCCAAGGTGGACGACACGGAGCTGCAAGACGAGCCTCTGCAGATTCGTCTGATGGACTACGACGTCTATTCGGCCAACGACGCCATCGGCAAGGTCTACATCGACCTGAACCCTTTGATCCATGGCTCGTTGGACGTCCCTGACACCTGCGTCCCTCAGGTCAGGGCGCCCATGCTTGGAGGAGCCATGTCCTACTGTGGCTGGTTCCCCGTCTACGACACCATGCACGGCATCAGGGGGGAGGTGCAGGTCATAGTCAAGATTGAACTCTTCTCTGACACCAACAAGTTCAGAGATTCCTCGCACGGAATAAAATTTTTCTGCAGTAGGTTTTTTCTCATTTGCCTTTTTAAATTAAAGTTTAAATTGTTTCCTTGTTTAAAGCTGCTGGAGTGCCTCACGGTCTACACGCCCTGTACATTCATGGATTCGTCGAGGAGCTAATTTTGACCGAGGACCCTGAGTATGAGTGGCTGGACAAAATCCGCACGCCCAGAGCTACCAATGAAGCCAGACAGACCTTGTTCTTCAAACTGTCTGGCGAGGTGAAGCGGAGAGTGGGCCTGAAGGCTCTCGAGATGGGTGCTAATTCAGTTATAGGGTAAATTTAAATGCAATTAATAATAAGGATAGGGTAAACAAAATGGATTTTTTTTTTTTTTAATTTGTTCGACTTTGAATGTAGCTTCAAAAGACATTGAACTAAATATAAATTGCAAATTATATTTGCAAATGAAAGTACACTTCCACTTAAGTGAAAAATTGAAAATCCCTATAATTTAGTAATAAAAATTTTCAGGTATCGATTACAATTTGACCTGGAAGGCGAGTCAGGAATTGTGGCCAGAGGAATTGGAACGGCTGTGACCCTGGTGTCCCCGTTGGACACAAGTCCGAACACAACTCTCGACGAGTAAGATTTCATCTCTAAACTGTCATTCCAAGGCCACCAGCACCATTATTTTTTCTCTATTTCGCACTTTCTGCATCCGTTTTCCTGTCATCTGATACTCAAATTACACTTCTTGTCCATTTTAAAGATTCGTCAAAAAAAGGTTGGATTGAGAAATTGCAAAAAAATCCAACCTTCCATCACACAAATTCTGCAACAATTTTTCTAATTTGAGACTTTTCTCTTTCTGTTCTCCCCGCACATCCTCTTGTGTGTGCTTTTCGTTTTTCTTCACTAATCTCATTAAAAATAAATTAAAAATTAAAACGAAGCAGCAGTTGTGACAGAGTGGCCGTGCTGCTCGGCCCCCACCCTTTGCTGAAGGTGGCGTCCACCTCCTGTAGCTGTCTGCTGAGACCCAGCGGCAGCTCGCACAGCATGTCCCCCCTCAAACCCCAGCCGCCCCACTTGCTAGTGATTCCCCCGACCCCGACGGGCTCGGCCGGCGTTTCCCCCACCAGCCCTGTGAGTCCGCAAACGGTCAACAGCCCCTTTCGGCGACATCCCTCCTACGGGGAGGCCATTCTGGCCATCGACCTCGTCTCCCTAGGCCTCCCTGCACCGCAAAACCGGCCCAAACCCTCCACCTTCCGCACCCTGGCCAAGAGCCTCCGCCTCGCCCTGACCAAAAGATTCATCAGCAGGAAGGAAACGGTCAGGGAGATGCCCAAGTTCGAGGTTGTGTACCCTGAGAAGTTCGACCGGCGCCACCGAAGGTCCTCGAGTGACCCTTTCAGCGCCGGGCCCTTCACCCGGCAGCTGCGGGGCGCCCTGGACTCTGTCCTGGAAGAGTCCTCCTCCCCTCATTCGGTCCGACTAAGGACCTTCCAGTCCGAGTCGTGTCTTTCTCCAATTGGCTCGTCCAACAACTCGTCCATCGAGTTTGTCCTGCTGCCCTCGGAGAGCGTGTCGAGCGTCGAGTCGCTTGAGTCGAGCGTCTCGACGACCTCCGAGCTGTGCCTGGCCGACGCCTTGCGCCCCACCGACCCCAACCTGCCCTCCATCCCCCTCACCGCGCCACTCTTGCCGCTCGCACGTCGCTGTAACTTAGTTAGGAGCATGTCCTCGAGTGTGTCCTCCTCCCTGTCCACTACTAGCACCTCTGCCACGCCCCGTAACTCAGTAACAGGCTCATGCCCCTCCAGGCTTCCATTCCCATCAGCAGCACCTCCGGTCCACGGGCTGGACAGTACGGACAGCAGCAGCTACCTTGACGACGAGCAACAACAAAGGCTCGGACACTCGAACGGCTCCAACACGCTGTCTCCGTCCAGAATTACCAACAACATCCAGAGGCGTTCTTCAGACTCAGACCTCAGCATCACCCCAAAAGGTATTTTTCCCAAAATATACCTCAAATATAATTGTGAAAGTTTTCATTTGATCAAAGGCAACAGCTTTGGCAGTGGAGGATCGGCAAACAACCGCCAATTTCACCGGCACAGCATCCCCAGGCCGATCCTAAACCAGGACAGCAGCATTGACCTGCTCGAGTACCCCTTCCTCACCCTCAACAAGTACCCTGCTGGATTCATCATCAGATTTGGTAATCAATTTAATTGTTCTAAAATAACAAATTTATAAATTAATCTGGCCATTCCTCAGGTGGAATGGTTTGCGCCAGGAGTGTGAAGCTCCTAGAGAGAAACACCGAAGAGCCGGAAAGCCGTGACCTTTGGTGGCACGAGTTGCGCATGGAGGTCAGGTCACACGCCAGGGCGCTGGCCTGCAACGTCGTTCTTGGTTACAGGGAAGAATCGTCAATTAGGTAATTTTGTAACTATTAAAACGATGAGTGAATGTAACAATAATTATTCCAGTGATGACGTATGCATTTTGAGTGCGACGGGAACGGCGGCCGTGGTCAATATGCATCACAGGGATGGCAGCCGCATCAGCAGCCGCAAATTCAAAACCAGAAGCACCAAGAGTAAAGACACGGATACTTCAAATGTGAGCGAAGAAAATGAGGACGAAAAGCAGACGTCCAAAATCAACATCGAGAATTTCAACAAGGTTTTTAGTTTTTGAAGCAAATTTGTAATATTTTTAACTTTTAAAAGTTCCTCTCGCCTCAGGGAAGAAGGTCGAAGGTCAGCTTGGCAGATGGGCAGAGTCCTTTGCCACCTCAGTGCACCATGTGCCATGTCCCTTACAGTCTTGCCAACTCCCCTATGCCAGTCAACGCCATTCGATGCGCCGTCTGCAAGTAGTTCTGTTCTGCTTTCTATAAATTAATTTTTTAAACCCGACACAAATAGGAAAGGTAAAGTGCCTGATGTCTTGTTGACGACTGTCGAAATCCCCGAGGAGGCCATGCTGACCGGCAGGGGTTGCCTGGTGCAAGTGCAGGTTTGCCGAACCAAGAAGGACGCAAAGGGCGAACACAACGCCAAAGAAATTTCGGACAGTCTTCCATTTTTAGAGTACGACATGTACAGTGCCATCATCAACAAGCTCAGAGTGAAGGGGATGAACGCAGTTTTTAATTTAAGGGTGAGCAAAAATTTGTATAAACCTGCATCTCACTTCAACCTTTCCTATTCAGGTCAGTGTGACTGTTGGTGACAGGCTTCTGGTCGGGATAGCATCGGGGACGGCAGTTTTCCTCACTCCAATGCCAGCCCCTCCAATTCCAAAACTTACAGCCAGCAAAAACAATAACTCCAGGTTGTCTCTGGCTGAGGTGCAGAAGAGACTGCAGGATGCTTGCAGGAACAACAGGGAGATTTACGGAGTCATCCCAAATCAAGAGGTTGGAAAATTTGTTCAACCTTCTGAAAGCACTAAAAATGATGTGTTTTTAATTAAAATTATTTTGCAACACTAGAAAGATTGCAACTCGGAATCGGATTCGGAAGAATCGGACGAAGATCTTCCAGCTTTGGAACTTGCCTCTGGGAATAAGGATGCTTGTATTATAGAGGTAAATCTTTGATTTTGAAATTAATTATAGTTTAACTTTAATTGTATCCAATCCAGGTTGATGACAGTGAAGACATGAATGCAGTCAACCTTCTAATCGAATCCTCTGTACCTCACGGTTTTGAAGTCGTCAACACTGAGACCATTCCAGGCTTGACCGGCTTTGAGGTGGTGTCCAGTCTGCAGATGTTCACACAGGTGTGGAGGGCCCGAGTCAATCCTTGCCAAAACTCGTCCTACTCGTTTTCCCTCAACAAACACATTCGTCGTTTACAGCAGGTTAGATAAACTTAGAATTTGATTTTTTTTTTTCATTTTGATCAATTTCTGCAGAGCTTATATTTCAAGTTGCGGAAAATGGTTCCTTGTGGTCTGCTGAGACTGAGATTCAAAGTGGAGCTTCCGGACGCAGACGAAATTCAAATCACCATCCTGGGCATGGCCGTCGGCCTGGGGAAGGTTCCGCAGCCACTGAAGAGTGCGGCCAAACTTAAGACTAACTGCAAGAAAGAGGACTCGGATCTGATTTTCAAGCTCGACGATGAGGTTGTGGCCATCGTCACACCACCCCCTGCAGCAAACATCCGGGACAAAAAGCAAAACCCTTTCTACCTCGGCTACACCAACCTCTTGAAAAATAGTCATGTAAGGAAGACTATTGATATTTAAGACAAATTTTTTTAATTATCAATGACAGGACCCTCCGACTGGAAGGTACGGGGTTGATATTACGCCTTTGAGTTATGTTCCTGGCGCCAAAATTGAAGAGTACTTGGGGAACCTGAACTTTTTCTTCATCAGGGAGAGCAACTCCATTAGAGAAGTACAGCTTTTAATTTTATAGGAAATAATTAAAAGTTTTTATTTTACTCGTACAATTGTATACATTGTTGGGATAATTTATAGTAAATTTTTAATAAATATTTCCGGTTCAATTTTAGATTGGAGGGTACAGCAACTTCGTCCATGGCTTTATCAACGAGTTGCTTGCAATAGTGAGGGCGCACATCACTGCACTAGGAGGCAACGCCATGGTCTCTTACTACATGAACGAGTTCACTCTGCTCAGTGCAGCTCACAAAAATCAGGTCAGCACTGGCACCTAATTCTTGATTGTCAATTGGAGCTGATTCAATTTCTACTCTGGTGCAGGGTCAATGCTTAATTCAAGTTGGGGGAGATGCAGTTCGAGTTTCGTATCCGGCAGCAGAAAAACAGCAGTGACAAGGAACCCAGGATATCAGTCATGATGTGTTCTCCATTTTTTTATAATTGACAATTCTAGTTTTTGATCTGAATGATGCTTTCGATCGTGATTTTGAGATTTTAGAACTATTTTGTGATTATTTTTTTTTAGATCTACATTCCACACGGTTACTTTTAATGATTCATTGTCAGAGCAGATCAATTTTGAAGCTACGCAAATATATTTTCAGTGATTTTCAGGTTTTGTTTTACCATCTTTTTAATACATGTATGATTAAACATATCAGGCGCTAAAATTTGCACAACTTAATTGATAAAAAAGTGGTATCAAGTGGAAAACGTCGGTGTTCATCTAAGAGCAATAAGTCAAAAATAATAATGAAAGCTGCAAGATAGAACTGTTTAGAATTAGAAGATAACAAAATGTATTATTAAATTAAAAACAATTGACTTTAAATTGATGAGCTACTTATTTTTAATCTCTATACTATAACGACCCCGGTGACTCTCTTCACAGGGATGTTGATCAGATCCTTTTACTCGCGGGTTCGAATTAATTTGATGAGCTACTTATTTTTAATCTCTATACAACTAAAATTTTATTAACAACTTCGGTTAACACATCTCATAGTTTATTTTTCTTACATTTGTCAGTTTTACGGTGTCTTCAGTTCTTTCCCTTACAAATATATTTAGTTTTAAGTTAGAAAAAGTGCAATCACAGATAAATGTTTCTTATTTTCGGTGCAATTAAAAAAGATCACTCCGGTGCATTGAAAAGGGCCGACGACCCAAAGTAGATGACCACAAAGACGGTGACCACCAATCCAGCGACGTAGAACATTGCCTTGCGGTTGTTGCGCCCGCTGTTCATCATTTTGTGGACCCTGTTCATGCTGCCGCTGAGCAAACCCGTGCCAGACTCGAAGTCCATCGAGAGGCCGTCCAGCAGACCGTGGTGCTCTTTCGCTTCAGTCTCGATGTCAAAGGCCAACTTAAAAGTTAAAATATCCAGTTATTTAAATTTGTTGATATTGGCAGATTTTTTTTTCGAACTGACCGACTTTAGTCTGCTGACTTTGCCTGAGAGGTTTTCGGTGAGTACCCTGTTTTGTCGGTCCAGGGTGTCCTCATCCTGGTCCTCTATGTTATACACAGCTGCCATTATTCTGGATGATTTTGGAAAATTTCAGGATGGAAGATAAAATTAATCGTGTTTGATGTCTCGTTGTTTTGTAGTGACGTTGCGACCTTTGTTTTGGTTGAATTCTGTTAAGATAGCCAACCTAACATTGAACATTTCAATTCTAATTTGCTAAAATTTTGAAGTAAAAGTCATAGAAAATTTAAAAAAACTATATATTAAACACATTTTTTTCAAGTTTCAATAGATTAGAGCTGAGGAAATATGCCAATGAAATATTAAAACCAGATTTATGATTTTTTTTGTGTGGTACAACTGGTTTGTAGGGGCGTGACTGTGTTCCAATTTGTTTTGATTTTTAGGCTACGACTGGGGATTTTCCAGCTGCATTCCAGCTTGTAAATTAACTAGAAATGAATTAAAATCCCAAATAATTTGTCTAGAAGGAGGTTCTAGAGATAAAAATGGTAAAACCGTCAAATTACGTTATCGTGACTTGAATAAATCTGCAAAATTTCAGGCTTGAAATCACTCTGCATCGCATTGGACGGAAACAGTAGTCTCGAGTTCAGTTTCGAAGAGGATGCCCTCGTCGATGCTGCTGGACTCTCGACTGGTGCGGCGACTCAAACTGCAGGTGTCCATGTTCCTGCGGGACCGGCAGGTGGCGATGGCCCTTTTGCGCAGGACGGCCGTCTCGTCCTATCGTCGGCGCTACTGTCTTCTCTTCTGGGGCCTCCTGGCCGCCGCTTTGGCCGTCCTGTACGGCCTCTTTGTCTACGGTGTCGTGTGCAGCAACGTCCAGATTTGGAAAGAAATACACGATGTTGTATGTTGAGAAAAACTTTATTGATTTCAAATGAAAATTAATGAAAAATTCAGTGTCGACAGTACAAGGATAATGAGGTTGTTGGCACCATGTGCCACCCTTTGTGTGAGGGGCGCGTCCACTCCCTCAGCTGCCAACCCCTGCACTCCGGGAAGGAACTCGTATTTTCGGCGGTTCTCGATGGCGTTCCGCTCGTCTTCAAATCATCAAGACGAAATCTCCACGCCAGGACTGAGGTTTGAATAAATTTTTTCTGTTGAATTTTTCCACTTAAAATTTTATCTTCAGGTGTATGCCGAGTTTGAAGGTCGCCAGCTCTACCCTTCAGAGGATGATTTTGTAAAAATGGTTGCAGCTGTGGTTGAGAACGAGCTGAACGTTTCGGCCACTGAAGAGCAGCTTTCGAAACTCATCCACTTGGCACCTGTGACTCCTGATCCTGACATGCGAGAGACCGAAATGAAAGACCTGTGGCGGCTGTTGCAGGACCATGAGTATCTGGCCGTTCGGATGTTTTCAGAGCAGGAAATTTTGCCAGCATTGATTGGATCTTGTGGAGATATTTTCGCTGTGAGTTTTTTATAGAGATTATTTTAACAGTACAATTTTTTTTTTTTTAATAATTAAACCTTTTCATGATTTTATTTCTTTTACAACAATTTGGATTTTTGCTAATAAGTTTTGATTTTGCATTATCAGGTTGATTTCGCCGAACCTTTGTCAGGAGGTGGTTTGTGGGAACACGAGGACGAGGTGTGGTCGGAGCGGCTGCGGCACGCAGTCATTATTCTTGAACTCCTGGAACGTCTGGAGACTACGGCCCCTGCACCTTTGCGGCTCTGCGACGTCCGGCTGAGCCATATCGGCCACTCCTTTGACGGCGCCAAGGCCGTTGTCCTGGACGGCGACTCCCTAGTCACTCAGTCAATGGCCGACTTGCTGGCTGGCGACGGCAGCCCTTGCACTGAACACTCCGACTGCCACTTCTTTGACTGCCACGCCGCCTGCGAAGAGGGCTTTTGCCAGCCACCGTCCACGAACAACAATTTGCAGGTCCAATTATTTTTTTTATATAATTTTTAAATTATGATATAGCATGATTAACAAGTTAATGCAACAATTCAGCAAAAATGCTAGATTTTTTCATAATTATGAATATTAAATGCAACAATTGATTTTTTTCCCTAAAATGCCTAAAATATCCAAAATTAAAATTTATTGACAAATTTTTAGGCAATTTGCGAGAAGGTTTTCCTCGGTGCTCGATGGGGCGGCGCCCTTTTACTGCCTGGTTTGTTGGCCTCTCCGCACGCACCCCCCTCCTTGGCAGCCCTCCTTCGACTCTGTGCCCACCCCCATGGGGAGGAAGGGGTGAAACATGGCACCCCTGATGACATTAGGGACCGTTTTGTTGCCACCGTCGAGGAGATGGTCTACGAGATGGACCTCAACGCCTGATCTCACATGAGATCTCTCTTTTTTTTCGCCAAAAAATTTGCTGAGCAATATTGTTTAAAGAGCTTTTCTCTGGACCAATCCAACTTGTTTTATCCTGCTAATTTTTACGCTCAAAACTGATATATAACCTGCTGCTTATCTCAAATGTTCAAACTATATATTCTATCAAATTATAGTCGAGCTGAAGTTTAATTAGCAAAGTATGTAATCTACAGTATTGATGACCAATGTGTATCCTACGTACAAAACAAAACGCTCTGTTTAACTTTTCCAAGCTTTGAGCTATTGTTTTTTACAATTTTGTTTTTTCGGCCTAAAAGGCTCCAAAGTGTGTATTAATTTTTGTGATAATTCTGAATTTAGAGCTGAAATCCAAAACGTTATAACTTTATATAAATATAATCCATCAATCTTTGCCTTGAATTATGCCAAAAACCAAAGCTTGCTGATCATTCATCCCAATTAATTTTTTTTAAGCACTTTTTTCAATCTCGCAAGCAATATAAGTGATCGCTATCAACTCAAGTACAACTTCTCGAAAGAAATGTAAAAAAAAATAATTTGCAGAAATTTTAGTCGGTGTAACTTGAAATTGTGAATTGAGTGTCTTATTAACCACATGTGTCAATGAACTCTTACAATGCATTATAATAGACAATGTTTGATGTTGAACCTTGGATGTGATCAAATTTTAGCTTGTCGTATAGTCACCAAAAGCTAACTCTATATAAATATATATATATTTGAATAATCTGCGCGATTTTTTTCGTACAGAGAGAGATCTTTTTGTACAATGCGAACAATCCTCCGAAGTACTTTTTAAGTGTAGCTTTTTACACCATATTTCCACTCACGATCAGCTTCTCTTTTGTGTGGACTTGTACTGTTTTTAATGGACTGCTGTTGACGTACGATGTTTAGTTAGATTGCGTGCTAATCGGCGTTTTAATATAATAATATTATACACATGATTAAACAAAATGAATAATTAGAAGAAAATTATTCAGAAATAAACTGCAGCTTCGAGATGCTATCAAAAAGCTTGAAATTTGAATTTTTTATTTTATTATATAAACGAGCAATTTTTCTTCTTCTGCTATTGAAATAAGATACGAGCATGTAAAACAAGTTCTCGACATGCTACTTCTTGTCTTGTCTCCTGAACAAAAAAGGTGCAGTTGAAAATGTCCTTTATTGTCATGAGTGCAAAAAACTTGCAGTGCTACTAAATTTTAAATTCAAAAGTTGGGAGCGCTTTTGTTACTCTGAAGAAGCAATTTGATACTGGGCAGAATATGTGGCCCCTGTTTTAAAATTAAGCAGCGTGACAAAATTAAAAACCATAAAAAGATTAAGACATAAAATATCTAATTCGTTTTAAAAGCATTATAAATTTATGATTTTAACTTAATTCAATTCAAATCCATTCAATTTTCCCGATATACTTATGCATCAAAATCATCTTAGGGATTCTCAATATTAATGTCTCCTTTTTTTAACTAAAAATTACCTAATTTTATATTATTGCCATATCTATCAAAATTAAAAACAAAAATTATTTCGGGTACGTTTTAACAAAAATTCAATAAAAAAAATTCAATTAAAAAATTTTCAATCATTTGCAATTTGCAACAAATCATTTTTAATATTAAATTAACAAAATATAAAAAAAAGTATTTTATTTTTAAAAATTTAATATTAATTAATATTTTTGGTGAAAAATTTACTTTCCACACGTTTTAAAACATGACTAATAATTAAAAATAATTTACATTAAAATTCCAATCTAATCAATTATTGATAAATTTTGCAAAATTTTGATGGCCTCTCTTTTGATTCTGCCATTCTGATTCGCTAACAAATAATTATCATCTGTGTCTGTGATAAATTTAGTAAAAAGCCTTTTCTTCTAGTCTATTCTTTTCTGTCATTGCCAAGGTCATCGACAGATCTGCTGATGGACCGGCGCACGCACGTTGCGTGCACGTGCAATCAATTGAGACCACGCCCCCGTGTTCGGCCCGTCAACAAAACCCCCGCACGTTGAATAGCAAGCAAGACTTACTACTTCGGTGTGGTTTTTGTGAATTATTGTGACGGAACGACGGACCAGTTTCGGGCGCTCCGGAAAAACTCAGGTCGAGTTTAGACACGAGTCGACGAGCAGCTCTTCGGCGGTAAAAAAGTGGGTGTTTAATTATTTAAACGCGGGCGATGCTGAGCAGCACGAGTCATTTTCAGGTTGACACTCGCCGCACGAAAATGGGTGGCAAGTACTCGTCCCTCAATCCCATGGACGTCGAGGTGCCCAACATCAAAGACCTGCTCGACAGGGACCACTATTTGCGGCCGTACGAAAAGGAGATCAGAAGAAGGTGAGCCGAACTTTGCTCGACCTTTCTTTACGTAATCGCTTAAGAAAAAAAAAACGCCGGCTCTGAAGGTCAGGCTAAGGTCAATGCCGCTTATTTTCGGTTGATCGCCGCAGTTGCCAATCGAAATTTTCACTTTTTTTGCCGAATGAATTTTTGCATCCGAAATGGGACAAAATTAATTTTATTATTAAATAAATAAATAAATTTTTTAATTTTTTCTTTTAGATTTGCAGTGTTTAAGGACTACATGGAAAAAGTGTCCGAAAGCGAAGGTGGAATACCTGATTTCACTCAGGGCTACAAATACTTCGGCATGCATTTCAACCCTGACAACTCCGTCACCTGTCGCGAGTGGGCGCCTGGTGCTGCCAACCTTTACCTGGCAGGCGATTTCAGTGAGTTTAATTGAAATCAATTGAAATTTTGATTTAAATTTTGAAATCAGACGGCTGGAACCGGACGAGCCACCAGTTCAACAAACTGCCCTTCGGCAAGTTCGAAATCACCCTTCCGGCCAACCCTGACGGCAGCAGTCCCCTCCAGCACCTGTCTGAAGTCAAGGTGCTTTATTTTTTCAATCTGAAATGTTAACATTAAATTGTGGAATTTTTCGTACAGATAATAGTGCAAAAGCCAGATGGGCAGTTGCTCGACCGGCTGTCTCCGTGGGCTGTTTATGTCACGCAACCCCCGAAGCACGAATCACTAACGTACAAACAACGGGTCTGGAACCCTTCTGCAGACCAGGTACAAAAATTTAAAATAAATCATATTGTTTAATTTACGGTTCAGATTCCACATTTTTTTTTTTAATTGTCTGAATTTAAATTTCAATTAACTTATTGATTTAATTTTTTTTTAATTGATGCTGGTTGAATATCTTAATAGACAGTCTATTGAAAATTGAAACAAGTTTTTAAGTTTAGAGTCTATTTTTTTTTTATCTGTTTTTATTGAAATTATAGCTATAGCCTTTTTAATATAATAATCATGTAAAATATGAAACCCAAATTTGGACCCTAAAAATTCCAATGACTTAATTTTCCTGTTCTTCTTCTTGCAACAATCTTATGCAAATTACTCGCCTTATTAAATAGTAAATTTTACGAGTTTTTAATTTTATAATTTTTTTGCAGCGGTACAAATTCAAGCACCCAAAACCACGGCGACCGGCCAGCATGAGAATTTACGAGTGCCACGTCGGAATCGCCACTCAGGAACACAAAGTCGGCACCTACAGGGAATTCGCTCAAAACATAATTCCCAGAATCAAAAAGCAAGGTCGGTTTCTAAATTGGGTGGGTCCAAATATCAGAGAAAATTTTCTTGAGAAAAGATCTGATTGTCAAGAAAAGGTACTCAAGAATCAATCCTCGAGAAAAGATTCTCATGAAACATTTCTACATAATCTGTTCTTTGATATTCGGACCCACCAACAGCAACATTAATTTTTGTTATCCCTCAACAGGCTACAACACAATCCAGCTAATGGCAATCATGGAGCACGCCTATTATGCCAGTTTTGGTTACCAAGTAACCAGCTTTTACGCAGCTTCAAGGTAAAATAATTGACAAAAATAATCTACTGAATTAGAAAAAAAAATAAGATAATAAGTTATTTCGGCTAAATTAAAATTGATCCTGTCTGGGAATTGATATTAAATTTTTACGTCCTCCATTTTATTAATTTTGAATGGTTTAATTTTTAGGTTCAAAATGAATACGTTTAATTTTTTTAACTGAAAATAATAAATTAGAATATTAATTGAATTTATCATTTATAAACCAGCCGCTTTGGGACACCGGACGAGCTCAGAGAGCTGATCGACGTTGCCCACGAACACGGGATTTACGTTTTGTTGGACGTGGTCCATTCTCACGCGTCCAAAAACACAATGGACGGCCTGAACAACTTTGACGGCACCAACAGCTGCTTTTTCCACGACGGTCCCAGAGGTGAACACACACTCTGGGACAGCAGACTGTTCAACTACTCCGAGTAAGAAACATTTATTTTGTATGAATTAAAAAAAAAAAATTAAAATTTTTGTCTCATAAATGAAAACTATCATAACTTTAACATTCTTTTATCTTAAAATTTTGAAGTGGAAAAAAACCATTGCAGTCTGATATTTGAATATTTTTAAAATTCTTTAATTAGATTAAATAATTCAAAAACCGTTTTTACTGCAAATTGAAACTGATTTGGTATAAAATTTCCTCAACATTTCAGGTACGAAGTGCTAAGATTTCTGCTGTCCAACTTGCGCTGGTACATCGACGAGTATGGGTTCGACGGTTTCCGTTTTGACGGGGTGACCTCGATGTTGTACCACAGCCACGGCATGGGCGAAGGCTTCAGTGGCAACTACGACGAGTACTTCGGCATGAACACGGACACCGAGGCGGTCGTCTACCTCATGCTGGCCAACCACATGCTGCACGATCTCTACCCTGAAATCACCACAATTGCAGAAGTAATTCTGTTTTTTAAAATATGAATCAAATATTAAACTGGAAATCAAAGGACGTTTCCGGAATGCCCGCTATGTGCAGACCGGTGGCCGAGGGTGGCATCGGCTTCGACTACAGACTCGGCATGGCCATCCCTGACAATTGGATCAAACTTTTGAAGGAGGTCAGCGACGATCACTGGAACATGGGCAACTTAGTGCACACCCTGACCAACCGCAGGTGGATGGAAAAGACCGTGGCCTATGCTGAATCTCACGATCAGGTCATAATTTCTAATTAAATGGTTATAAAAATTTGAGACTGAAATTTTCAGAAATTACTTTTTCAAAAAAGGGAAGAAAAATATCCTTTTTCAACAAAGGATATAACCCATCTTCTTCACTCAGATTTTTTTATTATTGTCAATAGACTTTTTTGTTATTTCAAAATATATTTTCTAATGAAAAAGTTAATTAATTTAAATTTTTCTGTTTTTAGGCCTTAGTTGGTGACAAGACAATCGCCTTCTGGCTGATGGACAAAGAAATGTACACTCACATGTCAATTGTTTCGGAGGGCAGCCCCATCATCGACCGAGGATTGTCCTTGCACAAAATGATCAGACTGATCACCCACGCCCTGGGAGGCGAAGCTTATCTTAATTTCATGGGTAAGTCCATTTCATTGTCCCTAAATGAAGGCAGAACTAATCCTCTTTTGGACTCAGGCAACGAGTTTGGACACCCCGAGTGGCTCGACTTTCCGCGCCAGGGCAACAACGACTCTTACCACTATGCCCGTCGCCAGTGGAACTTGGTTGACGACGACTTGCTCAAGTACAAATTCCTCAACAATTTTGACGAGGACATGAACAAAACCGAAGAGCACTTTGGGTGGCTCCGAAAAGATCCGGTAATTAATCTTAAAATATAATAACTGACACTCAAATTTAAATTGATTTGAATTGATCTTTAATGTTAACGCAGAGTGAGGATGAGGCTAAAGTATAATCAAAACTACAATTTTGAAAGCAAAAATTTAATATTATTATGAAAATTTTAGGGTTACGTGAGTTGGAAGCACGAAGATGACAAGGTGATTGCTTTTGAGAGGGCGGAGCTGCTTTTTGTCTTCAACTTCCACCCAATAAAAAGTTTCACCAACTATCGTCTGGGTGTGGACCTGCCTGGCAACTACAGGGTGGTCCTTTGCACGGACGACGAGCGCTACGGAGGTCACAAGCGGATCGACACCAGTGTGACTCACGCCACCTTCAACGAGGGTCACGCCAACCGTAGATATTCCCTTCAGGTTTGTGTTTAAATTTTTAATCAAGACTAGAGATAAATATGGCAGCATTTTAAACTTTCTATATTTTAACAATTTGAATTTATCAAAATACTTAAATAAAATATAACTGAAATTAAATATTTTTCCAGGCCTATCTTCCTTGTCGTACAGGAATAGTATTCGCAAGACATTAAGATCAGGATTTCACCGATCAGTGCCGCTCACCATTTCTTCCCGTCATAGTGATGCCCACTTTAAGGCAGGCAAATAGAATACCTTTTTAGACTTAGGTGTTGGAGCTTAATTCCCTACTTAGCCAAGCCCCTCAGGCTTGAGAATATAAAGAGATGTGCCATCAAGCGCGTGTAGCTTTGTAAAGAAGTGCCATATATTATTTTTTTATAAATAATCAAAAAAAGTGTAAATTGTTTTTGCAACATGCAAATTTTATGAAACGTTATTTTTAAGGAGTTTAGAAAGTGTTTTCACACTTACGCAGATTCTCTATGTGGATGTTTTGTATGGACGATTGAAATTTGGAAGTGCTTGTCCTCGGCACCGAAGCTGCGGATTCGCTCAATTATTATAATTACAATAAAGGTTTCAAGTGAATTCCGATGTTTTATATTTCCTTGTGTAGTTTTCAAACAAAATATCCCTCATATGAAATAAAAAGTTTACACTTATTCTAGGTACAAATTTTACAGTTTTGTATATCAATTGATAAAGTTACGACTGTTTAAAGACTAAATTTATTTTCATTCCGTGGGTTAATAAAATTTTTCCGTTTTTTATTTTGGCCTTTGTAATTATTTTAAGGGTGGGGTCCATGAAATTTTAAATTTATTTAAGAAGAATGAATTAAACTCGGCTTACAATCACCAATTAAAAATTGGTCAATCTGATAGAAGTAGTTATGCATCACGCTGGACCCAATTGCACGGCCGGTTGCATAACCTGTTAAACGGCAGGCGCGCTTGTTTTATCTAGTTTTTATGACCTCGTATCGTGCTTTGACAGCAAATACATAAACATTTCGAGGCCGCAAAGCAAAGTTGTTGGAACAGAAAATCCGTGTTGTGACATATTGCGAGAGGGACCATTTTTCAAAGTGTCGCTTTGACAGGTAGTTAGTTTCACCGAGCACAACCTCTAATATATCCAGAGCAGAGAGAAGGAGGTTTACTCTCGCTGCCGCTCATTTCCCATTTCCCTAAATAAACAGGCTTGCATGGACTCATCCACTCCTTGTAATCAGCCTGTGTCTGGAGTATAAATATTGGAAGCTAATTTTAAACTTTAATATCTGCAGCAGCTCCACATATACACTTCAAAGGGAAAATAAAAATATACATTTCAGCGCAAGGAGGAGAGAGCGCGATGTAGAGTGGCTGAGCAGAAATTGACGTGGCGTTTTGCTTATTATTATGTTTGCATATTAAACCTCTTATCTCTAAAATTAATGAAAAGATGAAAGACTTTGGACGCCGGTGAAATAAGATATTCCAAAAACTCCACTTCACTCCGAAAAATTGGACAACAAAATGGAAATAAAAATTTGCTTCTTTTGAATTTTTGTAGATAATTATGTTTTCAGGTTGAGTCGTCTCACCACCGGGACTGGGACCTGAAAAAAAACGCCACCATATATATGCCAACAACATGTCTCGACGGAATCGGGGAAACCTGGCGCACATTCTTGATAAAAAAAAAAACGCAGATTGGGGGCCGAATGCTCGTTTCCGGGTGCCACTGGTATCGTGTCGGCCAGCAACGTCATGAAATGTATGATTTCGCTGAACTAGTTTTGTTGAGCTTGATAATATCAACTTGCGTTTTTAGCGGCGGTGGAATTTCATTGTATCGAAGGTTAAACTTTTGACTTTGGAGTTTTCTGAAATTTAGAAAAAGAGACGAGCGAGTGGAGTACCCATTTTTTGTTTACATCGAAATAGTAACAAAATTCAAACTTCAAGAGGCATATTAAAGAATAACGAAATAATATATTTGATATTGCAGTTTTTCAACAATCAAAATATGAATATAGATTACTTTTTAAGTTCTTTGATTTATCATCATAATCAACGCCTGCATAACTCACTTCTGACTGTCGAAATTCAACAATTTTTAGATTATTTTCGTGAATATAATTTTCCGGACGTGATTTCAAATTATTTAATAAAAATTATAATATTAGTTGGGGTTAAGTTTCATTAATTTTTCAGTCAAATATTTCATTCTTGATGTAAAAAATCAAATGGAGCGCAAATTCAAAATAGGGCTGTCTGAAAGCCGCATAACCAGGCCAACTGGCTAAAATTCAAGATTCTTATTCAAAAAATAATAGTCCATGGGGGTTGTTAAGTTCAATTTGTAGCCATTGCGGTCCATAAATGGTACGATAAAATCGTGATTCTTTCCAGTATGATTATGTTCAACCAGTATTATCTAGAAGTATTTGTAAAAATTTTAAAATTTAGTGAAATTAAGAAGTAGAAAGAAGCCTCTCACGTCAAATTCGTATCTTTGGAAGTCGATGGTTTGCAGAATCTCAAACTCGAGTCCCTCGACATCTAAACTGAAAAAGTCGATCTTGGTCCTATTCAGACTGGTCATGAGCGTGTTAAACGGCAGGCAAAGCAAATCCACGTATGTTCCGTTGGTTTCGTTTTTTACAGCAGTTTCTATCTTTCCGACCACTTTTCCTAAAACCCAATTTTCGTGGAAAGTGATCTGCACGAAATTTTAGATAAATAGGTTTATTTCTAAAAATTAAAATTGCTACCATTTGTGGCGTTTTACTGAGACTCATGCAAGTTGGAGCAACCCAAGCTTTCCTGTTTTTTGAGTTGAGCAACTTGAGTTCTTTTGGAGATGCTTCCACCAATAGCCCTGTCCAGTTGAAAAACCTTTCCAGGGTCAGGGTGTTACTCAAACCCTCTCCATCCAGGGCGCCGCACTCCACGAAAAAACCATTTCTCTGGTGCATTGGTTAAAAATAAAGAAATAAATTTTATTTCAATTTGGTTACACTTGAAGATTGATGAATGAATTTTATGAAAATCATAATCTTTGAATTATGTTAAGTTTAAAGATTGACGTGTTAAACTTTTTTCCAAAAATTACAACACGAATAACACGATGATTGATGATTTAAATTTTGATTTTCAATTTTCAACATGACAAAAAATGATGGGTTTTTTAAAATTATTGTATAATTGATTTTCGGACCCTGTTTTTGAGCAACCGGAGTACGTTGGGAACGATTTTGTCCCACGAATTGTCATATTTTTTCGTTTTATTCAAAACGTATGGTACACTGCGATCGTTCGGTGGAATGATTAGTCCCTTGGTATAGTAGAGCAATCTCTCGTCATCAAAAGGCAGGTCTTGAAGATTACTTAATTCAATTGCTAAAGGGGAGTAAAATTAAACACAATAAATTAAATTGTAATATATTATATCATATTATACACGTTAAAACGCAAAGAAATTTTAAATTTTTTAACATCAGGAATTTATTTTGTGTAACCAGGTTTTTTACTAAATTTTTTACTAATTTGATAAAGGTTGTGCTTCAATAAGTGGTTACATCTGTAATCAGTGTGTCATAAAATATTAACATTTAATGCGGAAAGTCAAATAACGGTTCTCCAAATTTTTTCAGAATGTCGGAAAATGGCATTTCTTGAGTTTTGGTGTATCCAAAGCTGGAATAACCAAAACCAGTCACAATGACACAAAACAATCGATCAATTTAATTAAAATTAAAACACCGAAGAATGTGGAAAACTTTAATTATCTAGTAAATTAAACTTAATTAAGCAATGTCACATAGCATTTTTATTGTGTTGTGCTGTGTTGTGCAAAATAATCGTAATTTGACTTTCGCGATGATACTCCGCAAAAAATTTGATTCCTTAATTTCTTTAATACCATATAATTATGGATATGTCGATTGTCGATGTGTGTCTTTCTACAATTTACAAATCATTCAGAATAGTTATAAAGAACATCAGGCAATCTAATTCCAAAAAAGGCTTGTATTGTTTTAAAACAAATATAAATTAAAATGACATCAAACAGTGTGAAAAAAAGATCATAATCGCTCAAAGAATTCAAAGGATGAAACGTGCATTATTTTACTCTGCAAATGCATCTCTAAAAGTCGTGCTTGAAATAAAATTTCTATGAGTTTTTCTTATAAATCCATAAATTAAGCCTCGGATCCACTTGAATCACGACTACGCAAAATACTCACATGCCACGTTAGTGGTCTTCTTCGTCTCAGTCTGAATCTGAATCATCTGAACACTATATTTTCGGATGAAAAAGTTGCCCGCCATGTTAATAATAAGTGCAAGCAAAATAGCCGCAACAATTATTTTATCTCTTTGAATCATGACTGTAAAAGGGAAAAACACCGAGTTCACAACTTTGAATAGTAGACGCCTTGACGTTTGTAATTCTGCCACTTGCCACTTTTTACGCTTGCAGGTCGACTTCCGAAAGCAATCATTTGATATCATATCGGCCAGTAAAGTGACGTCTACAAGTTAATTTGAATTTTACAATGGGCGGCGTTTTACGTTTTTTCGTTCATTTTTCCTCATGTTCAAATAAATGTTTGCTCCTAGAGTTATTTCCCCAATTTTTTTCCATTATAGCCCGAAATAAATGTTAGTAATTTTATAAAAGTTCTAGTAATTTTATTTCATACATTAAAGTAAAAATTGTCGGTGATGTAATCAAGGTTAATTATTTTTGTGCTTGTTCGCTCTTTAGGAATCCACGTGAGACTTTCCTCAGGAAAATAGAGCCTCCACATTTGGAGTGCACAAGTTCCACTGCTTGAAGTATTTTTCGCCTGTTTTTTTTCAACGAGCTAATTTCACATTTCGAACAATGAGTTTCATCTAGAAAAGTTGCAGAGTTCTAAAAAGTAAAATATATAAATAATAAAAAAAAATGAATATAATGAATTTTCAAACCTAGGATTATACTGCTATCCTCAGACGTCAAGATAAAGTTTCCGTGTATCACGAGTATCCCAGGCAGCTTGTGTATTTAGATAAGAATTATAATTTTTTAGTGTTTATACCGAGAGAGGTGATAAAAAAATAACGCCACCTGTATGCCAACAACATGTCTTGACGCATATTTTTGATAAAAAAATATGATGATTGCGAAGCAAATGATAATGTAGGTTTGTGTGTCGATGAGCAACGTCAACAAATTATTTTGCTAAATTTACCATCGATATTTTACTTTCCTCTTGATAAATTTTCCTCCTTGTGCATACAGAAAATATTATCATGATATTTTGATATGGAAATTTTAAAGTTTTTCCAAAAATAGTAAAAAAAATGTGTAAATGCATGAAAATAAAAAAAGTTATTATTTGTAAATTTTCAATTCTTGTTTTGCGCATGGGACATCAAAGAAAGTCGGTTGTACAAGGAAAATTAACAATTGCAATTATGGATGCAGAGCCCGTTTTCCGTAAAACGTCTCCTAGAGTGCCACCTTTTTCAATTATTCGATGAAAATTTTGTTCAGGTGCTTTGTTTGTTTGTACCGTTTCTCTCTTGATAAATTTCTGAGATTACCATTTATTCTGATATACACAAGTTTAACGACGTGAGCAATTAACGCTATTATTAAAAAATTAGCCAATAGGAATACAAAATAATGAGAAATTCTTTATATATATGGACTACAATTTAATGTAAGTCCATAATCAAAATTAATTATTTTTGTACTTGTTCGCCCTTCCGAAATTGACGAGTTGATTTGGGTTGCATTTTTGGGCAAAATAGTAATAGAAGGTGGAATATATCTACTTGAAACTGTCCTCACAATCAGAATTAAAAGAGATTCCACATTTATAGAGCACAAGAGTGCCCATTAGATAATTTTTCACCTGCATGGTTTTTTTAATTTGCATATTTCGACCACTGATCTAGCAAAGTTGCAGCATGCTAAAAATTAAAATATATAAAAATATTAAATTATATAAATCATATTTAAATATGAATTACTTAAATAAATTTCCAGTCCTAGGCTTTCCTTAGACGTTCCGAGGTCGAGAAAGTTTCCGTGTATCGCGAGTGTCCGGGGCAGCTGGTTTGCTTGTTTTTTTAGAAAATAAAGGCTGTGTCACCAGGAGACGTGTTAAAAAAAAGCGCCAACTCATATGCCAACGACATGTCTTGACGGAATCGCGGACACCTGCCGCATATTTTTGATAAAAAAAAAATATATACATGATAATTGCGAGGAAAATGATAATGATGATGCAAGTTTCCGTGTCGTAGTGGTATCGTGTTGACCAGCAACGTCAACCAATTATTTTGCAAGATTACCAGAGATTATTTTCCTCTTGTTTAATTTTTCTACCTTTGCATACCGAAAATATTTTCATTATTATTTGTTACGAAAATTTCAAAGTATTTCCAAAGATAAAAAAAAATGTATCTATAAATTAATTAACATATGTTTTTTACTGTAAATTTATATCTTGTTTTGACATCTTGCCAACTTTTGCAGTTTACTAAAGCTGGGCTTACTATATGTTGAATAAAAATAAGTTTCTATTAATAAATAAATATATTGCAGCTCTATGTGCATTTGGCGCTCTATTACTTGAAATTAGTCAATATGAATGGAAAATATTAAAAAATTCTTGATATGGCTACAATTTTAGATTTTTATTGAAGAAAAAATAGTCCATGGGGGTTGTCAAGTTTAATCTGTAACCGTTGCGGTCCATAAATGGTACAATCAAATCGTGATTCTTTCCAGTATGCTTGTGCTCGACTATTATTAGCTAAAAAAAAATTAAATTCCTATAAATATGAATAAAAAAACTGAAAATTCTTACGTCAAATTCAAATTTCTTGAAGTCGATGGTTTTCAGAATCTCAAACTCGAGTCCCTCGACATCTAGACTGAAAAAGTCGATCTTGGTCCTATTCAGACTGGTCATGAGCGTGTTAAAAGGCAAGCAAAGCAAATCCACGTATCTTCCTTTGGTCTCGCTTTTCACGGCAGTTTCTTTCGTTCCGACCACTTTTCCTAAAACCCAATCTTCGTGGAAAGTGATCTGGGCGCAGTTTTAGATTGATTTTTACTTCTAAAAAATATTAAAATCGCTACCATTTCCGGCGTTGTATTGAGACTCATGCAAGTTGGAGCAACCCACGCTTTCCTGTTTTTTGAGTTGAGCAACTTGAGTTCTTTTGGAGATGCTTCCACCAATAGCCCTGTCCAGTTGAAAAACTTTTCCAGGGTCAGGGTGTTACTCGCTCCCTCTCCGTCCAGGGCTCCGCACTCCACAAAAAAGCCGTTCGTCTGAGCAAAATGAGAAATAATTTGCCTATACAATTGCGCTGAACCACGAATCGATTGTATGTTGTCATTATTTTTAAATAAATTAATTTTACAATAATGCAAATTGCAAAATCTCAATCTTGATATTTTAGGACGTAAGAAAAATTCTTCAATTATAATAATTCATATGCAAAATTTCAACAGGATCTTCTTATTAAAAACATGAAACTATTTTTTTCAATTCTTATTTTTTTTTAAATACCCGGACATTTCAAATTGGAGTTTGTTTTCCAGGGTACAATTTTTTCGACCTGACCCATAAAATATACACTCAAAAGTTATAATTAATTATCAGACCCTGTTCTTGAGCAACCGGATTACGATGGGAACGATTCCGTCCCACGAGTAGTCATATTTGTTCATGTCCTTTAAAACATATGGAACATTGCGATCGCTCGGCGGAATGATAAGTCCCATAGTATAGTAGAGCAGCCGCTCGTCATTAAATGGAAGGCCTCGAAGATTATTCAATTCAATTGCTAAAAGGTCATGAATAAAAAAAATTAGCTAAATATTTATGAAATAAATTTGACTTAACTTTCAATTACTCATGCAGATTGACAAAAAAATAGTATATTTAAAATAATTTTCGAAAATCGCAATCTTTGAATTTGCAAACAATTTCTGATATATGAGTGACTTCATAATTAAAATGCCACTGCCTGAAATTTATCTGCTTGATACTCACAAGTTAAATTCTTGGTCTTTGTCTTCATCTTTTCCACGGGAATCAGAAACGACCAAGCAGTATCAGCTTTTTCCGAGCACAATTTGCAAGCCATGGCGATGGTAATTGCAATCAAAATTGCCAGAGCAATTTTTTTATCTCTTTGCCCCATAGCGATTGAAGTCTCAGAAGAATTTAAAAAAATTGAACTCAAATATGAGTGTATGGTTCTGGGACTGCCGCTTGCCAATGTCTTTCACGATAACAGGTCGACACCTCAACTGGTGCTCTTTCCTCATGTGCCAAATATGAGCCTTCGTGTCATACACGCTAAACCGACCAGACACGTACAGGAAGTTTATCATATATTTTTGCGGCTGCATAAGTGAACTTGGCGATATGGCCAAATTTTTTGTTTTAAAAAAGGACCATAAAGGGTTGCTGATTGCATTGGGCAGCTTAAACGAACTATTCATACAGTTTTATGGGTGTCCGGGGTGTCCGACAGTGTGGGTTAGAAAGTGGCTTAATCCGGCCACTTCGTGAAAAACCAATTTCGTTAACTACTTCCAAACACGTTCAACTGTATGAGTAGTTAGTTTAAAGGCTCCTTATTGACATAGTCAAATCAAGTCTTTTCAATAACATATAGGAAACATTTTTATCAATAATTGGAAAATTTAATCATCATTGTTGTAAAGACTTGATTTGACTGTGTCAATAAGGAGTCGTTAAGCTGTCCCATGCGTCCCTTGGAATGTAGTCAGCAACCCTTTACGGTCCTTTTTTATCAAACAAAAACTAAGTTTATGCCAGCGATAAAAGTTATGCCAGCGAAATTAAGATTATGCCAGCGAAAATAAATGATGCTTGATTTTAATAAAGACAAACCCAAAATAAAATAATAATAAAAAAAAAGACAAAATTGAGTGGCGCCTTCTGCGCCACTAAAAAGGGCACAGGCCGACAAGACTTTGTCTTGGCCTGACCCTAAAAAAAAAAAGTTGGCGATATTGCCAACTTCACCTCATTAAAAACAAAATTCAAAATCAGTTTGCGAAACCGCCAACTTCACCACATTGCAAAATTAGTTGGCAATATCAACAGCTTCACTTCCGTAAAAAAATATGGTAACCTTCCCGAACCTTCCTGTGTCTGGTCGTTTAAAGCGTGCATGACGTGAATGCTCATATTTGGCACATGAGGAGAGTGCACCAGTTGAGGTGCGTCAACCTGTTATATAGAGATAGACATTGGCAAGCGTTAGTCCCAAAACCAAATACACACACGAAGTTGAAACTTTAATTATTTACTATTTCTTAGACGTCAATCGCTATGGGACAAAGAGATAAAAAAATAGCGCTGGCAATTTTGATTGCACTCACCATCGCCCTGGCTGGCAAATTGTGCTTGGATAAAGATGATAGTGTTTGGGCGTTTGTGGTTCCCTCAGACACGACGAAGACAAATACCACGACCGAGAACGTGACTTGTGGGTATCAAGCAGATAAATTTCAGCCAGTGGCAATTTAATTATATACGAGATTTTGTTTGGAAGCTCAAAGAAGTTTCCAGAGGTTTCATTTAGAGCACAATTAAGTATTGCAATTTTTGAAAATTATTAAATATTTATTTTTTATCAATCTGCATCTGCATGAGAATTGAAAATTATGTTAAATTTATTTTCATAATGTACAAACGCTACATGGACAAGATAATTCCGATAATTATATAACCACCAAGTGCAACCCGCTCGTAATTCAAAAAAGTTTCAGAGTGAACAATGAACAAAATAATCTTCATAATTGATTTAGCTAATTTAATTTTTTAATTCACCTCTTAGCAATTGAAATGAAAAATCTTCGAGGCCTTCCATTTGATGACGAGCGGCTGCTCTACTATACTATGGGACTTATCATTCCGCCGAGCGATCGCAATGTTCCATACGTTTTGAAGGAAATGAACAAATATGACTACTCGTGGGACGGAATCGTTCCCACCGTAATCCAGATGCTCAAGAACAGGGTCTGAGATAATTAATTAAACAATAATTAATCTTTTTCCAATAAAAAAAAAAATTACTTTTGCGTGTATATTTTGTGGGTCAGGCCAAGAAAAAGTGCGTTTTTTTTTGGGCTTCATTAAAAAAACCAAATCCAATCTTGAATTTACTGGGGGGAATTTAAAAAAATGCTAAATTTTAAAATGGAAAATCAAAATGTCTAGATTTATAGGTGATTATCCCGTTGGCATTTTTCATATGAATTATTAATTGAAGAACTTTCCATACGTCCAAAAATATCAAGATTGAGATTTTGCAATTTGCATTTTTGTAATTAATTAATTTAAAAATAATGACAACATGCAATCGATTCGTGGTTTAACACAATTGGATGAGCAAATTATTTTTCATTTTGCTCAGACGAACGGCTTTTTTGTGGAGTGCGGCGCCCTGGACGGAGAGGTTGCGAGTAACACCCTGACCCTGGAAAGGTTTTTCAACTGGACAGGGCTATTGGTGGAAGCATCACCAAAAGAACTCAAGTTGCTCAACTCAAAAAACAGGAAAGCGTGGGTCGCTCCGACTTGCATGAGTCTCAATACCACGCCACAAATGGTAGCAATTTTAAATTTTAGAAATAAACCTATTTATCTAAAACTGCGCCCAGATCACTTTCCACGAAGATTGGGTTTTAGGAAAAGTGGTCGGAACGAAAGAAACTGATGTAAAAAGCGAGACCAAAAGCGGATACGTGGATTTGCTTTGTCTGCCGTTTAACACGCTCATGACCAGTCTGAATAGGACCAAGATCGACTTTTTCAGTCTAGATGTTGAAGGATTCGAATTTGAGATTCTGAAAACCATCGACTTCAAAAAATTTGAATTTGATGTAAAATTTTCATTTTTTTTTTATAATCACATGATATTAATTTTAAATTTTATAGTTAATAACACTTGAACATAAGCATACTGGAAAGAATCATGACTTGATTGTACCATTTATGGACCGCAACGGTTACAGTTTAAACTTAACAACCGCCATGGACTATTTTTTCTTTAACAAAAATTTAATATTTTAGGCATATAGACATGTTACAATATTTTTATCAGAAACTTTCTTTTATTCACGACTTTTTACGCGACAAATAAACAGTAAAACACACAATAAAGCAAAAAAATCCTCCGACCTCCATTTAGAATGTGACCTCGCGGTAGAGTCAAAAGACGAGATGTTTGGAAGAAACCGGATAGGTAATTGAAAATTTTGGTTAATAGTTATTTGTAGTTTCTATTGCATTGAACAATATGTTTGATAAAAAGGATGCTTGACATTTCAAAACCTTTTAAAAACAGAATTTTAAGCGCACCATTTTCCTTAGCAGATATTATGGAAGAGATTTTTTAGGGCCATTCAAAAATTGCATTTGAAAGGTTTTGCGTATTCCGTTTATTTTATATTGTAATTGAAACTCAGGGGCATGCAATTAAAACTACTTATAATGATTTACTATAGGATTTGAACTACCTATCCGGACTAAAACTTTCATCCAAAAATTTCGACTGTTTTGCCTCTCTGCCGAGGAAACTTTCTGAGGACGTGATTTTTTAAGTGCTTTTAATTTTCCAGATATGTTCTTTCAAGCCCGTTAGTTGAAGAGGCTCGTCTGGCCGTAGCAATTTTTGACAAAAATGAATGCTGATTGTTTTTTCATCTTTCTGCCACACTCGTTTAATGAGTCAAAGCAATCAATCGCTGGCACTCTTTATAAAAATTATGAGGTGGCATAGAATGAATATAAAATTAAATTATCGCTTCAGCTACGCGGACAAATGGCCATTCTGAGGTGGCTGGAGGTGATAGTGGCCATTTGTCCGCGGAGCCGACGATAAATTTAAAAATCAGTGGTTTAATATAGAAAAAATAATTCATAGAACAGCTCTGAATAGAAGTTCAATCTTAAAAACTTTAATTTTAACTTTTTATGAAAAACGCATCTTGAAGGCATAAAAAGTTTATATTTTTGTATTTTTCCAACAAGTTTTTGATAAAAAATTTTGAACTTGGATAAAATTTATCAGTTTTTGTAAAAGCCGGGGAAAAAGAAATAAAAATTAATATAATTATTACGTTACCTTAACTAATTTTTGGAAATTAATGGCTTTGTTTTCTTTATCAATTTCCGCAAATAATTTTTATGTCATTTGACCTCAAATTAATTGAAAACTTTCCGCCAGCTTCTTAAAATTGTTTTATGGATAAAAAATATAGAGAAATTCTAAAAGAGCCTATTTCAGGCGTTTTTTCCTTATCATATAATTATTTTTTATTCCCACATGCACATAAAATGCCTCGACTAAGGAGAGGGGCAACAAACACGCGATTAGAAGCGAAGCATTTTGTTTTAAAACAGGTGCCTACAACATGTTGAAGTTTTCTAGTCTCACAATTGGCTACAAATTGGTCGCGCTATTTATCGGTGCGATTATTTTCTGGATCGGGATAATGCTTTCAGAAAATTACAAGGACCGTGCAGTTTCAACGAAGTTTGATGGCTCTTGGGTCCCAGGCAGTCAGTTGCTGATTGACAGAAGAGTGTTCGGAACCGACCTGAGGATGGAAATAATGGTAAATTATATTCCACATTGACCATTTTTAAGAGTAAAAAATTGCCTGCGTTTAGGCCAAAGAATCCAATGTACCTCTTCAATTTGCAAGCAAAATCAACGCCAGTAAATTGCATTTCAATGTCACATGCGCCAACTACACGTCCCCATTTGAAATAAGCTACAACAACCTTTACTGGCAAGTGCAAGAGATGAAATCCAGTAAAATTATATACTACATGTACGGCGCCTACTTTGACAGAAGGATTCGCACTGCACCTGCTGTTCACGTCGTAGCTTTTCTCACTAAACTGGAAAATAAAGCTAAAAGACCCTACTGTCAAGTGTGGTTTAACAAGAAACGGAAACCATCACTAGTCAAGGTTGGTTATTAAATAAATTCTAGAAAAATTATTTGCCACATTGAGTGATATTCCATCGTGGTTTTGAATTTATCAAATCCTATTTATGGCCGAATTTGCAAAGTTTGAAAATTTGGGTTTTCTACACAAATTAAGTGGTTCAGTGCATCTCCAGAATAACATAAATTATTATTATGGGGGGGGGGGGGGCAGAGCTAAACTCCAGTTGAGACGACACCCTTATATTCAAGGGGTGAGAAACAGAAGCGAACTTTTTGCAGTTTTTGCAACGGCTATTTTTATGTTTGATATAAAAGGAAAAAATTGTTCTTATAAAAAATCAACAGGCAACGTCATTTGTCAAGCTGTTCCTCGATGGACCGATTCCACACAAAACCATGATACCTTACTTGGTCACCTGCAAGATTCCCTCAGCCATGTCAGGCAAAGTTCCTGCTTCCGTATCTTTGGTTGAAGCACCGTGTGAAAAGGCGACCAACAATCTTCGGGTCATTTACAACCCTTTGCCTGCTGGGGAAAAGAAAAAGGACTTCCTGGTCTGCGTCAAAGCACTCTTTTTGACTTTCAAGCCGCACATGGCGGTCAGGATAGTCGAGTGGATCGAGTTGCTCAAAATTCTGGGAGCTCAAAAAATAGTCATTTACAATTTCCAGGTATAGAATTCTTGTTTTTTTCGTTTTTATAAAATAACTATTTTTAGACTCACAAGAACATAACCCGAGTACTTGACTATTACGCAAGTAAAGATGACTTTGAAGTCGTGCCAGTGACTCTGCCTGCAAATTATACAAATTCGCCTGACTTGGTATCCGACTTTTTGGCTGAAGATTTTTGGTTGCAGTACAAGAACGATGGTATTCAACTAACCGATTGCTTGTACCGAAACCTTTACAAATTCAAATACGTCACCGCTTTGGATATTGATGAAGTTAGTAAAATAAAATATTAATCCTACCTGCTCGACCACTTGATAAAGAAAATTTTCCTACTAATAAACTATATGGAAAATTGATTATTTAAGGTTATTGTTCCCATGAAAAATGAAAACTGGCACGATTTGGTCTACGAAGTGGCAGTGCCAAGAGCTGCTATGCAGCACAAATCATTCGATGCTTTCGTGACGAGGAATACCTATTTCATGGATGACCAAATTGAAAGGCAGGCCTGGTTTCCAGACGTACCGCCGTACATGCACATGCTGCAAAATGTGAACCGCAGGGATTTCCACAACCCTCCTGGTGTTGTAAATCATACGGTCAGTTCAAAGGGTTTTTTCGACGTTCGCAAGATACTTTTCGTCTACTGCCATTACCCCTTATCATGCGTGAATAAAAAGTGCAGTTATCTTACCTTTGACCCTTCGGAATCGCAACTTCAACATTATTGCATTGGCCAGACGAAGAGCGACTGCAATGTCACAGATGGAAAAAATATTGTGCAGGATGTTTCGATGTGGAAATACAAGGACGAGCTTGTTGGAAAAACAAATGATGTTCTTAGAAAAACTGGCTTTCTCAAATAAAAAAGATATCAAATGTCCATCTTCCGCAATTTAATCTTAAAAAATTCCAATGAATCAAGAAAATCCACATTAAAATTTAATTTTAAAAAATTACAAAAATTGCCAAATGATAGAGCATAATTATATATTCACAAACAAAAATAGGTCAAGCTCTGTGTGGTGCTAAAATTTAACTTTATCTCACACACGTTAAATAGAATTGAATGAGATTGTAAAAATATTCCAAAATTAATGACAAAAATAATATAAAAAATGGATTTTAAATTGAATAAAAATTTGGATATTTGGCATGTGTAGAACATCCTGAGCCCATTTTTTTAAAAGAATAAATTAGATGAAAAGTATCATGTTCCATTATAGCAATTTAATTTTGAATTGAAATTTGCAAGCATAAAAAACTTAATATAATGCTGCATATTAAACGGTTAAGAACTAGGAAGTCGAGAAACATTAAAAACATTTGCTGAGTAAAAAATAAAAATAGCTTATCATTGTGCCATTATCAACGTTTGACCCCACCTTTTAAAATGAATAAAAAAAAGGAAGTTTTGAGAGTCTTTTACACTTTAAGTGTTTTGTTATCAGACTCGTTTCCATCCAAAGTTAAAATTCTTAATTAAAAAATAAATTGTAGCATAAAAACCGCTGCCAACGCGACACTAAAGTAAACAATGAACAAGCTTTTACGATGAAATTCCCATTGTCACACGTGCCACTTGGCTGTGTTTTGGGGCTGGGAATTCTTTTGGCCACAAATAAATTTATTTTGAATACGCAAAGGTGCAGTTATGCAGGAGGGGATAATAATTTTGGATTGTAACAGAGTCGAAAATTGATCCATTTGGTGCAAAAAGCTTAAAATTTCAAAATATTAAATACAAAAATTCGTGAAATTAATTTTGTGAAACGGGAAATATAATTTTTTTTTAATTTTTAAAATTTTTCCCCCATCAAATAGCATCATACAAAAATGCTTTTAATCATAATGTTAAGAGATTAAAATTAACGTAATATCTATTTTCTCCATTCAAATATTATTATTATTTATTATTGCTTATTCCTCACAAATCAAGTCATGGAAAAGAAAATAACAAAATATGAAGAAATGGCAACACCTCAGCACAATTTTTATTTAAAAAAATTACACTCTTTCAGAACCTCATTTGTATTTTCAATAAGTTGATCCTTGTACTTCCAAAGTGCAAAATCTTGCACCAATTCATGGTCATCATTGGTGGTTTTACAACCGTCTTTCTTGCGGCCAATACAGTAGTGTTGAAGTTGCGATTCTGAGGGATCGAATGTAAGATATTCGCACTCTTCAGTTAGACACGACCTAGGGTAATGACTGAACAAGGCAAGCATCTTGTCAATGTCAAAGATAGATTTTGAATTCATGACGCCGCCTTCATAACGTCCTGCAGGGTTATGAAAATTGTTTCGATTCACATTTTGCAGCATGTGCATGTAATTCGGTACGTCTGGGAACCAGGACTGACGTTCAATCTGGTCATCCATGAAATATGTATTCCTCGTCACGTATGCAGCAAAGGATTTTTGCTGTTCAGCAGCTTTAGGCAGCGCCACATTGTAGATTAAATCGTGCCAGTTGTCTTCGCTTATTGGAACTGTTACCTTAATTTTAATAAATTTTAGTGATATGAATTGATAATTGGAATTTATTACCTCGTCTATGTCCAAAGTGGCCAAATAGTTAAACTGATATAGATGGCGGTATAAGCAGTCGATTTCTTGAACAGCGTCGTTGACATATTGAAATAAACGTTCCTGCTCCAAAAAGTCCGAAATCAAATCAGGGTTGTTGGGAAATTTCCCAGGAAGCGTCATCGGCACAACCTCAAAGTTACCCTTGCTTGCGTAGAAATCCAGTACTCGGGATACGTTTTCATGGCTCTAATTAGGTTATTTTGTTATACTGAATCAAATCCATGAGATACTTAAAAATAGCCAAATTAAGCAAATTCAAAAATTTACTATATAAAAATACTTAAAATAGCCAATTGATTCTTAAATTGGAAATATTAATTTTTTAATGGTATTACAAAAAAAATAGCTGATTTAAATATTTTTTCATCATTTAAGTCAAATTTTTGATAAACTTTTTTCCTCTTTTTTTCATAGCATACCTGGAAATTGTAAATAACGATTTTTTGCCCTCCCAACAGTTTGACCAACTCGATCCATTCCACTATTCTGACTGCCATGTGCGGTTTGTGAGTCAAAAAGAGTGCCTTGACGCACACTAGGAAGTCCTTTTTCTTTTCGCCAACGGGCAAAGGGTTGAAAATAACCCGCAGGTTATTTGTAGCTTTGTCACACACTTTATCTACCAAAGAAACGGAAGCAGGAACCCGATTGGCCATTTTTGGGGGAATTTTGCAGGTTATTAAGAAGGGGTACATCATACTTTTTCCATTCTTCGCGGGTCTCCACAGCAAGTGAAGGTATGCCTGTAAAATTTTGATATAATAACTTTGTAACATTTCATTGACAAAATTGTAAATGGGTGGGTCGCACGGTAGATATTACATGTGATTACATTCCATAATACAATAAAGCTGCAATAATAATAATAACATAAGCCTGAATTTACCTGGACTATAGTCGGTTGCTGTTTGCCTTCAAACCAAAATTGGCAGTACGGTTTTTTCCTTGGCACTTTCGTAAGAAAAGCCACAATGCGAACGGCAGGTTTGTCAGCCGCGGCGGTCCGATTGTCATAGTAGGCCCCGTAAATGTGGAAAACTGTTTTGCTCGACGGCATTTCTTGGAGTTGCCAGTAAATATTGTTGAAGCTGATTTCGAAAGGTGACGTGAATTGGGCGCAGGAAGCATTAAAACGAGTTTCGTTGGGTTTAATTTTACTCGAAAATTGTATTGGTAGGTTGCGATTGTGTTCCGCTGCCTATGAAAATTGTTAGTGTATTTCATAATTAATATAAGTGAAGTATACCAATTTTAATTTCAGATCATTCCCAAATTCTCTGTGGTCGATCTGCAACTGCTGCAGGTTGATGGGAGTCTCAATACCAATAACCTCCAATGTAGTCACTTGATTTGCATCAGTGTTGAAAATGTCCAGTGGAATAATTAGAAAAATAGTCGAGACGAAAACCAGAGAATATGTTAGGAAACGTTGGTAAGTAGCTAAGCAAAACATTTTTTCTGAACGTTTTACGACTCAACAAACGTGCTTTCTATATTAGAGGGGTTTTTATCATCAAACTTTTCCCCACATTCTGCTGCTTGAGGAAGTGGAAGTGAATATAAAGTTTTTTAATTAGGGAAGGTAAAAATTTTTATTTTCGTTGTTCTTTTAATAACTGTTCTAACATATCCTTGTTATTCTAAAAATATATTGTGAGTATATATTCGTAAAATGAGAATATCACAAAAATTGAAGCGGCTCTGTTAATCGAGAATATCTTTCCTTCCTTCACATAAAATAATGCAGTTAATTAAAAAAATTGAATAATGAATATATAAAATACTAGTTTTAATAAAAAAAAATAACAATTATTATTGTTTCGTCCATAGATCCTCAAAGATCTAGTAATTCAGCGTTGAATTTATGAGGGCAAATACAATCTTACAGTCATGTCAAGTTCTGTAAAGATGATTTTCATGAAATTTTATTTGATTAATTCATGCAAGATTATATAAAAAGATGGCTGTGTGGTTCCATTTTTTTTCGCAACTTTTATTTCACTGCTTCTCCGTTTCATAAAAAAATATAGGGTCATGCTGACCAGTTGGTTTGACCTTTGACTCGCAAGCTCATTGAGATTTTTATCTGCAGCTATAAATAACTTTTGGTAAATTTGTCAACAGACTAATGAGGGAGAATATAATTCAAAGTCCATTTCTGCGTTGAGACGGCGGAATTTTGCACACGCGCCTAAAGTTCCACAAATTTATCGAAACAACATCTTGAATTTAAAATCATACGGGCAGTTCGGCATCAACTCTGCTCATGAGGTGACAAGTGTTAATATTTTTTACAATTTTTTTTTTTTGCGAAAATCACATCATCCCGATCTCTGAAAAATATTTGAGGATATTTGAGTTTATTATAAATTATTTAAATTGTAATATTAAATTAAAAAAATTTCGAGTGATTGGGAAAAAACAAATTTTAATGTCAGTTGAATTCCGCGCTTACTTTGGTTCACAGATATCGACAGGAAAATTTAGAAACTCCCGTAAAAAAAATTATTTTTCAGGCTTATGCTACAGTAAATATGATTGCCCAAGACGGTGTGCTGTTTGTACTGCTGGCCGTGTGTGGCCTCAGCTGGGCCTCTTTGCAGGGAAATATCAGGCCTAAGACATACGTCGACCTAGGCGAGTACAATTTTTCTTCACACCACATTTTGCTCTTATACTAGCAATTATTTTGCTCAAAATTTTCAAACGAAATATGACCAGGTAGTAAAAAGAATTAATTTTAAACGTCATTTATTTTACTTAAAAATAGAGTCACGTTAATTCATTTTTATTATTTTGAGGCGCTTCTCAATCCTCTGTTCTTCTATCTTCTGTCGCAGAAAAAAAGGAAAAAAAATGGTATAATTATTGTTTTCGAGACCAAAAACTCAAAAACTCATTTCAACGCGCTTTATATTGGCAGCCAGGAACACATGCAATCACTCTTTTAGTTTACCTTTCGACATATTCTAAAATTTATTTACATGTTGAAAACTATTTTAAACCTTCAATGCATCAATAATTTATTTTAGCAGCGCACCAATTTGATCTTCGGTCAGTGGCAAAAAAACTTTATGGTTAGCCATTCTTTACGATAAGAGATTTGGTTTTTTTCTGTAGGCGCGGAGGACGTTTATCAATTCAATGGAAATGACACGCACACCGACTTCTTTCGCCTGGTCCTTCACGACGGACCTAACCTTTTGGTCGGAGGCAGAAACTTCTTGCACATTCTCAACTTGACGGACCTCACGGAAACACAGGTGTGCTGTTAAACGTTTCATAGTTTTTTATTTCCATCGATTTTTTTCTGCTTTATTTCTTGATTGGAATAAATATTTGCAGCAGTAAAATCTGCCAAAAAGATAATTAAAAGGATCGATATTAAAATTTTAAAAATAGAGGAGCGCAGGACACTTATCACGGCGCTATCATCGTCTCGTTGTTTAAAAAATATGCTAGAGCTTTAGCTTTTAATTATTTTAATTAAAAGCATTCTGTTGTAGAAAAATTTTATCTTATTAATAATTTTAATATTTAAATAATTTATTTTTCTTTTTTTTTTTAAATTTCTATGCCCCCGTGGGCTCATTTTTCTGAAATGCTTGGTCACAAATTAATGACTTTTTAAAATACTTGCAGAGACTGACGTGGTTTTCGTCCGACAGTGACAAGTTTATGTGTAAGTTAAAGGGCAAGGACGAAGAGAGTTGTCAAAACTACATTCGCGTCCTGACAAAAATTTCACCTGGACGCTACCTCGTATGCGGCACCAACGCCTTCAAACCGATCTGCCGTGAATATTCCTTGCAGGTAACTTGAAAATCTTACCTCTCGCCCTCTTTAAACCTTTCCCTCAATTATTTTATCCCTTTAAGGATTCCCTTATGAACATATGCATAAGGCGCCGTTTAATTTAAGTGGTCTAAAATTTCCTGCAACAAGAACTACAGATTTTCAACTGAAATAATTATGTTTTGCCCAGAAATTATCATTCCCAGCAAACTTAAATGCAGTATTTGGTTTAAAGCCATCCAATTTTCAGACCTCTGGATTTCTGATGGAGAAAGAAACGTCCGGCCAGGGAATTTGCCCGTACAATCCCAAAAGCAACAACACGGCCGTATTTACCAACGGCGAGCTATATTCTGGCACTTTCGCAGATTTTGCAGAAGTAGACTCCCTAATTTTCAGGCAACCTTTTAGAACAAGGCAGTTTGACTCCAATACCCTCAAAAGTAACTAGAAAAATTGTCTTGCAAAAAAAAATAATATTGTATCTTCACAGATCCTAACTTTGTGAGCTCCTTCGCTCACGGAGACTACGTCTACTTCTTTTTCCGTGAGGTCGCCATTGAGAACATCAACGACAAAGAGGTGCGTTTTTCAAAATCATACTAACAAAAAAAATTCATATCCGTATGTCCTATTTATTTCCTTGCACCACTCAATGTAATTTAATTATAGTTGTAATTTTGCATGAAATGAAAATATTGTTACGTTTGAAAAAAACATCTGTCGAAAATAATTTTTGGTGTCTGTGACGATATTATTTTCTCATGATTTTACTTTAACCAGTTTTATAACTTGTGCTTGCAGTCCATTTATTCGAGAGTGGCGCGCGTGTGCAAGTCAGACCGAGGCGGATTTCGATACATTCGAGGCTGCAGGCATTGCTGGACCTCATTCCTGAAGACCAGGCTAAATTGCTCAGTGCCAGGCGATCTCCCCATTTATTTTGACCAAATCCGTGAGTTTACCATTTACTTAATCCCCTATTCTTCTGTATCTTATTTAATTTTTTTTTGACAGAGTCAACGTCAGACCTGATTGAAGGTTCGTATGGCGGATTGAACGGTCAGATCATCTACGCCGTGTTCACCGCTTCCACCAACTCAACAGGCGGGTCGGCCGTTTGCGCCTTCAACATGCAAGACATCTCAGAGGCTTTTGAAGGCACTTTCAAGGAAGAAAGAGATTCTAATTGGCTGCCGGTCGACAACTCGAAAGTTCCTGACCCCAGACCTGGTCGGTGCGTCAACGACTCGAGGACGCTGCCTGAATCGACTCTCAGTTTCATAGAAACGCATTCACTGATGGCCGAGTCGGTCAAAAGCGTCTTTAGACAACCCATTGTCACCCGCACAAGCTCCCAGTATGATTCAATTTGAAAAGTTGAATATTAATTGTAATTTTTATTCCTATAGATTTGTACAAATCGCTGTTGATCCTCAAGTGAAGACGCCAGAGGGCAAATCCCATGATGTACTTTTCATCGGCACTGACAACGGCAAGATTATCAAGAAGGCCGTGAACGCCGAGTCTGCTGAAAACCCAAAGAAACTCGATCTAGTGATCATTGAAGAAATCCAAGTTTTTCCGCCTAGCGTTGCGATCAGAAATTTAAAAGTTGTTAGGGACGATTCTGTTGCGGAGGGCCGACTTATTGTTATTTCAGACTCGGAGATTAAATCGATTAAACTTCATAGGTGCAACAGTGACAAGATTACCTCCTGCAGGTAAATTTAAAATTCCTATGATTTCGGAAAAATTAATGATTGGTTTTCAGCGAATGTGTGGCGCTTCAAGATCCGTACTGCGCATGGGACAATCAGGGTCACAAATGCATATCGATGAAATCGGCGGCGCAATGGAGTGATAATAAGAATTTCCTCCAAAGCATTGCTTCTGGTGTTCACAGCTTATGTCAAAAAATTTAATGGAAAAACAACTGAAACGTTGGATAAGATAAATCACGACACTTATTTTTTTGTACGAATTATTTTATAATATTTACAACTTTTAAATGGTCCGCAAGAGAAGTTTTAAAATCCGTCACTTTTTGTAATTTTTCAATGAAATTTAAAACTAAATTAAAATATTCAATGTGTTTTATTTTAAAAATCCGGTATCTTTAAGAACTGCGTTAGTTCTAGCAACAAGTTTATCTTTGTATTTCCATAGATTAGAGTCTTGAACCAAGATCGTTTTGTTCGTGATTTTGCAATCATTCCTCTGCTGGCCAATGCAGTAGTGCTGCAGTTGATCTTCAGATGGCTCAAAAATTTGATAATCGCACTTTCCATTTAAACACAACACCGGGTAGTGACAGTGCAAGTAAAGCAGCTTTTCAACTTCAAAGAAGCCCTTCGTGTGGGAATTTTTTCCCTCAATTGCCTCAAAGTGAGAATTGTTGCGGTTCACATTTTGCAGCATGTGCATGTACTTGGGAAGCCATGGAACCATGACTGCCGTTCAATCTGGTCATCCATGAAAAATGTGTTCCTGGCCACGTAACCTGCATAAGATTTATGCTGCTGAGCAATTCTTGGCGCTAAGCTGCTATCTTGTAGATCAAATCCCGCCAGTGGTCCGTGCTAACGGGAACAATCACCTTTAATAATCGAAACGAAAAAAATTTAAATATTTTGTTACATTGTGATCGCTTTGTTCCGGGTTTTAATCATTTTGGATTGCAAAAATTTGACATTTTTTAATTTTTCAGTTTACTTACTTCATCAACGTCCAGAACGGTGACGTAGTTGAATTTGTAGAGATTTCGGTACAAGCAATCGGCTTGCTGCATAGCATCGTTTTTATATTGAAAATAATTCGCTTTGGCCATAAAGTCGGATATCAAGTGTCGTGAATTCGGGAACTTCCCAGGAAGCGTTATTGGCACGTGTTTGAAGTTATCCTTTTTTGCGTAATAGTCAAGAACCCGAGTTATATTCTCGTGAGTCTGGAAAGATTTTATATTTAACGATAAATTAAAATATTGTTACAATCTAGCCACCTGAAAATTGTAAATGACAATTTCCTGAGCTCCCAGAATTTTGAGCAACTCGATCCACTCTACTATTCTGACCGCCATGTGTGGTTTGTGCGTCAAAAAGAGTGCTTTGACGCAGACCAGAAAGTCCTTTTTCTTTTCCCCCGCAGGCAAAGGGTTGTAAATGACCCGAAGATTGTTGGTCGCTTTTTTGCATGGTGTGTCGACCAAAGATACTGAAGCAGGAACTTTGCCTGACATGGTCGAGGGAATCTTGCAGGTGACTAAATACGGCAGCATGAGATTGTGTCCAATGGCGCCAAAGGTGAACATCTTTTCCAGTGGCAGTGCCTGTGTAGCTTAAAAATTTAGTTTAATAATATCGGTATAAATTTTCCACGGCGCTTATAATAAATCATATTTATACACGAAGAAACGATATTGGAAGTGAAGAGATCCTCGCTGTAAATTTCTTTATAAATCTGAAAAAGCTCGTTCTCTTCATTTCCATTATTTATACACGTACGCATTAGAAAATTTATAATTGAAAAATATTAAAAATATAACCTTTTTATTTTTTAGCTACACATATAACGAAATACTAGTAGAAACTGCAACTGTCATCAAAATGTCAAACACATTTGAAAAGAAGAACCGAAATTGTACTCTATAATTTTGAATATTTCATTGCCTTTTTTGTGTGATCTTTATCAAAATATAAAAACAACTTTTATTGAATACCTTGACTATTGCTGGTTTCCGTTCGCCGTCGAACCATAGTTGGCAGTAAGGTCTATTGATGTTATCCCATAATTTAGTCAGAAATGCAATAACGCGAACGACGGCAGTTGTTGTCCGGTTGTCAAAGTAAGCGCCATACATGTAGTACTCAACCTTGCTAAATTTCATTTTTTGCACTTGCCAGTAAAGGTTGCTGTAGCTGATTTCGAATGGGGACGTGTAATTGGCGCAAGTGGCATTAAAACGGTATTCTTCGGAGCCAATTTTGCTTGCAAATTGAAGAGGCGCGTGGAATTCTTTAGCCTGAAAATGGATATGAATTTAATAATAAAAGTTTTTTGTATAAATGTTACGAGTTCCAACTTCAAGTCCGTTCCAAATACTCGTTTGTCAATTAGCAACCGACTGTTTGGGTTTCTAGGATCATCGTCTGTCGTGAAAACTGAATGATATCTGAAAAGCGATATTATTTTCCATAAAAAAATCGTAGCGATAATCAGCATGGCCAGTTTCTGCTTTCGACGACTAAATATAGTCAACATATTGAGAGGCTTGTTTCGAAATGAAATGTTGTGCCAGCAAACAAATGGTATCAAATTTTGATAACACACACAAAAAACACGTAAATGAGGAAAGAAGAAGTTTAAAATTCGAGAGACACACCGGAACCACAAGCAGTTCATTTTACACTTGAAAGGCGCACCATGCGGACAATTCACTTTGGTAGCTACAAATTGGCCTTGCTATTTATTGCTGCAATTTTTTCATGGCAAATAATTTTGCTCCTCAACGAGCGCTTATTTTTAACAAAAGACTGCAACCTTCGAAATCCAAACAGTCGGTTGCAGATTTACAAACGAGTATTTGGAAATGAACAGAATTTGGTACTTATTAAAAAATATTAAATATTTTGAATGATAATAGCTCAATTTTTAGGAAAAAGAATTCCACGCTCCTCTTCAATTTGCAAGCAAAATCGACGCCACTAAATTCCGTTTTAATGCCTCTTGCGCCAAATACACGACCCCGTTTGAAATCAAATACAGCAACCTTTACTGGCAAGTGCAAGAAATGAAAGCCAGCAATGTCGTGTACTACATGTATGGAGCTTTCTTTGATAACCGGACAACCACTGCAGCCGTTCGCGTCATTACATTTTTGACGAAAATGGTGAATATCACAAAAAGCCCTTATTGCCAACTTTGGTTCGACGGTAAACGGAAACCAACGATAGTTCAGGTTGTTATGCGCACATTTTAATTTAAAATAAAACTCAAGAAAATTGCAGAATAATCTAATTTTTGCTATCATTTTCTTTCAAAATTAAATTTCAAAATTAAATTTTAAAATTTAAATCTTTCCTGTTATACAGGCATCGCCACTTGTCAAGATGTTTGTCAGCGGGACTATAGAGAAATGTAAAATGCTTCCATACTTGGTCTCTTGCAATATTCCCTCAGCCATGTCAGGCAAAGTTCCTGTTTCCGTATCTTTGGTTGAAGCACCGTGTGAAAAGGCGACCAACAATTTTCGAGTCATTTACAACCCTTTGCCTACGGGGGAAAAGAAAAAGGACTTTTTGGTGTGCGTCAAAGCACTCTTTTTGACGCACAAGCCGCACATGGCGGTCAGGATAGTCGAGTGGATTGAGTTGCTCAAAATTCTGGGAGCTCAAAAAATTGACATTTACAATTTTCACGTATATATTCGAGAAATTCATATAAACTGTTACAGTAAATAATTATTTCAGACTCACGAGAACATTACCAGAGTACTAAATTATTACGCAAGCAAAGGCGACTTTGAGCACGTGCCTATCACACTCCCTGGAAACTTTCCCAATTCTCCACATTTGATATCAAAATTTTTGGAAAAGGTGAAATTGGTTCAATACAAGAATGACGCTGTGCAAAAAACTGATTGCTTGTACCGAAATCTCTACAAATTCAACTACGTCACCACATTGGATACTGATGAAGTAAATAAGGACAACAATGCTGATTTAAATTTACAATTTAATTAAAAAATAGGAGTTTCTTATTATTTTCAATGACGTTACACCACGGGTTGCAGCCCAATTTGATAATAAAATATAATAATCATTTTAGGTAATCGTTCCCATGAAAAAGAACAACTGGCGCGATTTGGTTTACGAAGTGGCTTTACCAAGAGCTGCCGAACAGAACAAATCTTTGGCGGCTTACGTGACCAGGAACACATTTTTCATGGATGACCAGATTGAACGGCAGTCCTGGTTCCCTGACATTCCCAAGTACATGCACATGCTGCAAAATGTGAATAGAAACAAAATCCATGACCCGGTGGTCCGTCAATACAGTAAGCATTCGAAGGCCTTTTTTGACGTTGGGAAGATTATTTTCCTATACGGTCATCGTCCTGTGACGTGTGTAACTGAAGAGTGCGATTATCTAACATTCGACCCTTCGGAATCGCAGCTTCAACACTATTGCATTGGCCGGAAAAGGATTGACTGCAGAAAGAATAAAACAAAAGCCATTGTCAGAGACATTTCGCTGTGGAAATACAAAGATCAACTTGTTGCAAGAACAAATCACGTCCTGAAAGAAATAAATGATTTTTAAAATTAAATATTTAACAATGTGTAGACTGGTATGAAAATCTCTTCGTTTCCAACATTCAATAAATTTTAGTTTTAAATGTCCCACGTTAAGTCTAAAATGTTTGTTAAAGGGCAATATTTCAATTTCTGCAGAAGTTAAATTAAAAAAAATATATTTAAATGTTCTATATTGCAAAATTACAGTTTCTAAAGAAGGGCGATGGGTATCAATTTGAAATAAATACTTGTCGATTTCTGTGAATTTAAAAAAAAAAAATAATATTTTGTGCAGACGCAATTAATTTTACCTTGACTTTTAAAAATGTTTGGAAATTACAAATTTTTTACATAAACATTACACAGAAAAAAATAAGAATTGAATATATTAAAAAATTATATCAAAATAAATAAAAGTCTGAAAAGCTCCAAATGCTGTCAGAATATAAATATTATTTGGCAAAAAATTCGTTCAAGTTCATTTTTTGACAGTTAAAAATATTCAACATATATTGAGCGGGTTGAGTTTCAGTGGTTCAAAATGAAATTCCTCATTGCCATGGGACGCTTAATCTAATGTTGATAACAAAAACCACGTAGGGAAAGAGGAAGCATACTTGAATTAAAAGCTTTTATTTTACACCTGGAAACCACAACATGCGGACAAGTCATTTTGGTAGCTACAAGTTGGCCTTGTTATTTATCATACCAATTTTTTTCTGGCAAATAATTTTACACCTTAACAAGCACTTATTTTTGACAAAAGATTCCAACCCTCGAGATCCAAACAGTCAGTTGCTGATCGACAAAAGAGTATTTGGAAATGAGCAGGGTTTGGTATTTATTTAAAAATATTTGCAAAAAATATTAAATATTTTGAATGATAATAGCTCAATTTTTAGGATAGAGAATTCCACGCTCCTCTTCAATTTGCAAGAAAAATCGACGCCACTAAATTCCGTTTTAATGCCTCTTGCGCCAAATACACGACCCCGTTTGAAATCAAATACAGCAACCTTTACTGGCAAGTGCAAGAAATGAAAGCCAGCAATGTCGTTTACTACATGTATGGAGCTTACTTTGATAACCGGACATCAACTGCAATCGTCCGAGTCATTACATTTCTAACTAAATTAGTGAATGTCAAAAAAAGCCCGTACTGCCAACTGTGGTTCGACGGCGAACAGAAACCAACTCTAGTTCAGGTTTTTATGCACGTTTTGGAGATTAAAAAATATTTTCATTGCGTTTACAACATGTGATATCTTAGGTTCAGAATGCAACACAAATATCTTAATTTTGCAATTAATACACAGGAGTCAATCAATTTGTTTTAAAATAAATAATATATTCACGCATGGAAAAACCATGTTTGCATTCAATAATGACGTTTTTGAAAGCAACGCTTTAAAGGTCCTGGTTTCTATCAGGTGCAGACATCCTGAATGAAGTCATTCTTAAATTTAAAAAATAATGGGAGAATACACTGCAATATTAATTTATTTATTGCAATATTTTTCTTCACTGTTGATTACTTTCAAATTTGAGGAAGAATAGTAATGAAAATGCCCAACTTAAATCCTTACATTTTATACAGGCTTCGCCACTTGTCAAGATGTTCGTCACTGGAAACATTGAGAATAGTAAAATGCTGCCGTATTTAGTCTCCTGTAATATTCCCTCAACCATGTCGGGCAGAATTCCTGCTTCCGTATCTTTGGTTGAAGCACCGTGTGAAAAGGCGACAAACAATCTTCGGGTCATTTACAACCCTTTGCCTGCTGGGGAAAAGAAAAAGGACTTTCTGGTCTGCGTCAAAGCACTCTTTTTGACTCACAAACCACACATGGCGGTCAGAATTGTCGAATGGATCGAGTTGCTAAAAATTCTAGGAGCTCAAAAAATTGTCATTTACAATTATCAAGTATTTAAATATATGATCAAGAAATTTAATTTTTAAATAAAAAATATCATGTTTCAGACTCACGAGAACATAACCAGCGTACTCGACTATTA